AGCAACAAATAACAAAGTGTTGTCAAGCAAAGATCTGCAGGAGCAGGTGATTTTGAATAATGTACCTGCAAAAGATTTAAATGGACGTATGAAGGCAATCAACAATAGTCACGGCAGAATTTGTCAACAGAGCAGGCATAAAGAACAAAATAATATCAGTTATATTACAGAAGGTGTTAGAGAAAAAGACAAATCACCAACACTATTGGAAAATGATCGTGAAGTTCTAGCATTTTTAACTCGTAAAAATGAATTGCGGCCTGAATATGCGCTGGGAAGTAACCTGAAGAAAAGTCATGGCAATGTGCATCTTGAAAATGGACTTTCTTTGAAGCCCACTGACAGTTTAAATAAAGTTTCTGTGAATGACAATTCACGTATTTCTAGTTTCAAGTGCAGGCAAGAAATAACAAGGGATCCTAATTATGAGTCAAAGGTTGAAAATTACGAATTTAAGGATGGAAGGTCATTTCGTCAAAATTCAGCACATTCATTGGCGCAAAATCAAAGACAGCCTCAGAAATCTCACAATCTGCTTATAAGAAATGATCTTTGGGCATCCTACAAGGAGGTTTCCGATAAACTTTCCGATACCGTCGATCAATTACTATATAAAGATTTAATGTGCGCTTACTTGACTGATGAAATTCTGAACTTTTCTGCCAATCATTCCACAATTGAGGATGAGCTTCTTGAAGTAGAAGAAAAATCTGTACAGGATGAGATTTTTAATTCGGCCAGCCTTTTGCAAACTTTGAAGATGATAAGCGAACATCAACATGTTGAAGGGAAACTTTTATCAAAAGAAATGCAGAAAGTAGATCTCGAAATAAGACAAAGGCGTTTGCGTCTTCAATTTCTAGAACGAAATTTTAGAAATAGTAAGTTCAAGTACGCCCCAAAGCAATTGAAGAGATACTGCAGTGTCGAATCACTTTTAGATAACTTTGAAGATCCTGAAGAAAGAAAAGATAGCTACTTGAATCAAAAATTTAAATGGGATAGGAAAGAGAAATTCGAAGAAGAGACCAGCCTTGTTTAGACAAAGATGTAAACCTTGCTTGGATGGAATTGTTTTTATCAAATTTAGGCCTGAAACAAATTACATATAAGCTGCTTTGTTACCTCTTGACGTGCTAGTGACTAACTAATAAGGATAAAATCCAAAGTTTTTAAGCGTATTTAGCAATCATAAACATTTGTACATATATTAAAGCAGTAAAAGGGTTCTTGAAATTAGAGAATGTGTGTTTCGTTGATTACACACCTCTTTGCAATTACTTTTACAACACTACAAGCCATGACTCAACCAGTGTTCAGTGCAAAGTCCCCCTCCAGCTGCCGTCTTCGAAACCTTTTGATTAAATGCACCCTGGAGTTAATAGCGGATACCAAGTACCGTCAGCTGATTTTATCGGTATTATAATCCAGGAGGTGAGATCAGATCAAGAAAAGTCTTGATTTGGCCAAATTTCTGGCCTGGCCGAACTTTCCTTCTCTTTGTTTCGTTATTTTCTTTTCGCTGTGAACATTCTGAAGTAAAATAAACAGTTCGTTATCATATTATTTTTGTCAATTTCCAAAAAATTTTGAGAAATTGTAAAGAAGAAACTTGAAATTGTGCTGAAATCTTCTAGCTCTCATTGCTAGAGATTCTTTATCAAACAATTTTGTGAAATAGTACTGGCATTCTACTGAACAGCTAGGGTTAATGTTTTCACGCTGTGTTTTTTCGCAAGGTTCAACAACTAGAAATCCATTTAGCATCTATAAACGGCATTCTAAACCTCTCGCACATTCCTGGTCGCGAGCTTGTCTTGCTTGCTTCAAGGCAGGAAGACGCAACCTTTGATAGGTCAGACGAAAGTCGACAAATGCTGCAAGAATGAATTTTTTGTGGGCACTTAAATTCACCATTAACATGATATTTCCAGATGTCTTGAAGCTCGCAAAGATTTATCTTCAGCAAAATGATCATTTTCTGTTCAAGAAAGATTTAAGTCATATCTCAGAAATACAATGACTGACAAAAGATGTAGCAATTTACATATTTTCAATATCTAAATGTAGCTGAGATAGTATAAAGCTTGGCCTCGTGAAACATCACATTCTTATTATCTAAATCTGTTCTGTTTTATAAGGATGTTTTGGTAGCTTTGACTAGATTATTGATACCATGAGGTGTTTTCAACGTTTTTCCTCGAGCTTGACCGGATCGTTTGTGCCGTTCTTGTTGATCAAACGTACCTCAGCTTCTCCTAATACATTGATGTAGATAGTCAGTCGCGTATTTGCGAGTAGCGCCCGTTAACCAGCTGTTTCTTTCCTTCCCATTCTTATAGATAGTCGCCAGCGACAGAAAAGTTGATGCCAATTACTTCTTATCCAGACACAACTTATTTTGCTTCATTACAAAGTTGATCGCTTAGATTGTGATTGCTTGCTGTGGATCGTTGCGTCGAAGTCGTGTGGATTTTCTTATTTTCATTTCCAGTTACATTCTTTTCAGTTTCATTTCTTTTTCTTTTTCCTTCTCCTATCGTTCTTTTCTCTCAAGTTATTCGATTCGCAGCTTTTTCTTTCTCTAGTAGAGCTTACAGAAGCTTTGAGCGGTTTTCAATCAACGTCATTTGTGCGCTGTCAGGAAGGTCTTCCATATCCTCAAATTTCTTTTCAATTTGACTGTCAACTATTGTTTGTCGTTGCTGTGACTTTCAAACTCATTAGTAAGTCTTTGAAATCAGCGACAATGCATCTTTAGCCTCACCCTTTGCATCCAGATTTTGTTGATGTTCTTTTCCCTGAATCTTCAATTAACTATAGAGAAGACAAGAAAAATTGGCCTAAATCAATTGGTAATACGCTGAATCTGATACGATACAGTACAAAACTAGCAAACGCCCCTCATGATCTTCTTGGTGGCGTTTTCTGCTGCTGGACATTGTAAGACAGGGGTATAAGTATATTCAATGATATCAATGACAAAACTTTGTAAAATTAAAATTTGAAAATGTTAAAAATATAAATGTTTGACTGAAATACAACATGATTAAAAATTTACAGGCACTGGCAAACTCACTGAAAAGTAAATGAAATAGGAATTTTCTCATTTTCCTTGAATATTTCCTGCAAACCAACCTCAATTGGGTTCGTGATTCACGTACAGTCAAATGTCTATTGACAGGCAAAATTTAAACACAAATCACATTAACAGCACACAGAGCGAAGCCTACAGAGCGAAGGTCGGTGTTCATATGAATTAAGTCCAGGAGCATAAAAAGGGGGATCGGAGAAGTAAATGGCAGGAGTTCTGGCCCCCTTAATAGACCGGTAAAGAAGCTGTGCCATCTTATTATCGAATCGTTTTATTACATCATAGAAAACTACTAAAAAGAAATACTGGTGCCGAGCAGGCACTCAAATGCTCTGGTTTTGTTTTTCTACAGTATGTAGTTGGTTATCATTTGTTTCAATTGTTGAAAATGTTGGTCGTTAAGAGGTGTGGCAAGTACAGTGTAGCAATTTCTCCCAAAAACACAACTGAATGATATTCATAAAACATTAATTTAAAATAGCATGAAATACAGATTTGAATCTGGGTTCAATTTTGGTTAATCAATTACAGTGAAAATAAGACCACCTGTGTTGAATTCATGGTGGAGCTAAAATGCTGACTGATTAAAAATGAGAGTCAAGAGCTCTTAAGATGTTATCATTATTTGCTTTATTTGAAGATTTTCGAAAACTTAATCAAGGTGAAGATGATCAGCTTGCTTTGAATTCAGAATATGACTCTAAGTTAGACTAATTTCTTCAAAGAGGACGAGATACATAATTCCTTATATCAGTGATAGTAAATCTCCAGGACTCGACGGTATAATGAATGATAATCTAAAGCCTGGATCAAGCAAAAAAATAGGGATATCAACAAAAGGCTTTAGCATCGCTCTTAAGACAGGTATCTCTCCTGAAACACAACTGACTGGTATGATTAACCCAATTGATAAAAGTAAAAGACCAAAGTCCGTTGCAAATAACTGTCTTTGAAGTTTGAAAAGTTTTTACATATGTACTTAATAAAAGGCTCTAAGAAGAATGAATTACTGTAAAAACTCGCTTGTAAGAACCTAGGGATTCAAGAACCGTCCGGCAGAAATTTGCTTTTTTAATACTCTAAAATATAAGGACCTGTTCAACCAAACAATTGTCAACAAGTTCTTATATGTGAGGCTTTGCCATTTAATTTATCTACTTTTTACCAGTAACCAAAAAAGTGACAGAGAATTGAACTGTTGAAATATAAACTCATAATGCAAATTGTATGTTAGACTATTATTGTGAAACAATTATCGCTACCATTTTATAAACATTACTGTATCGTTGATCAATTTTTGGTGGACTTTTGGCAACAGACCAGATGGAATGCTATTATCTGATAATCAACAACAATAGCATTTGATACGGTAGGGAGAAAAGGGCTCTGGCTAAAGCTCAGGCATTTTTAAGGAAAACTCAGAGTTGCACATTTTTAATAGAAATTATAATAGAAAACCAAATTCTTGAACATATAAGAATCATTGTGACTTTTTGGTTATACAGAATCATAAGAAACCAAACTCAACTATATAGAATTTTAAAAAAACAATTATACAGACGAAACTGACGACAATAAAGCAAGGTACAGATAGAAATTGCACAACAACTTCAGAAGTAAATGTTAAATTGTCTCCAATTTAATTGTAAAAATGGTGCCATGACTAATTTTTTATTCTGAATTTTTAGTATCGTGTATGTTTGACTCAAAAACTATTGTTAGAATTTTCGAATTTTGACAACATAACCCGAAAGAACGCCATATAGTAATCCCATATCTGCAGAATCAGTTTAATTTGTTATTCTAAAATTTAATTCTAAAAGTAGATTTTTCCGACGTCATCACTTGACAACTCTACTCCAAAGCATACCCTCGCTTCAAGCCCAGTCTCGATTTGGAACTAGATCTTGTTTTCAGCAAAGTCAGCATGGAAGTCTGAGAATCACCTCGCAGATTTTGTTAGGCTTGTTAACAGATAAAAGCATGCTGGGCTGGGCTAAAGATTTCTTCAGAAGACACAAGAGGAAAATTATAGGACTTGGCGTTGTTGCTGGAGGTCTATATTCGTCTTATAAGCTAATTCAATGGAAGGTTGCAGAGTGGCAGGAAAGAGAGCGGGCAGAGTAAGTGCTACTAAAACCAAATTGCAACCAAGTTAATATAATTTTTCTATCAACTAGGTAGCCGTAGCTAGACAATATATTTCAATACACATGCTGCTGCTCAAGTGTGAAATGAAAATGCCCATCTACAGTCTGTCACGTCCTGGTCTTATGTCAAATCTTATGCTGGGGAGAGTACCTTCATATGAATAACCTGACATGCGACAGCGTTTTTCTTTCTTTCACAACACAGCCAGGTCTCTATTCATATGATTTGCCTTTTGTATCAATAAACTTTTGTATATGTTTGTATCTGAGATTGACACAGACTTGCAGTGGCGAAGCCAAAGGTCCTGCTTGTCCTGCCGGGCAGGACCACAAATTTCCAAAGATAACAATTTTTAAAATATTAAAAATTGATTCACTTTATGAAATCATTATATGCCTGATTCAAAGGCATTTCTTTTTAAAGGTCTTTTTCTACACTTATATTTCGTGGCTGTGCTCTTTTTCAATTTTGCGTGACTGGAATGGAATTTCGAGTATCCCGTTCGTAAATTGATATCGTCAAAAATTTAGCCCTGTGGTCAGTCCTGCCCAATACTTGTAGGCAGGACTAAACCCTATGTTTGGTCCTGCCCAACAATGGGCAAACGCCTCGTGGCCCTGTTTTTGGTCCTGCCTCACAATAGAAGAAAACGATGGCACTCCAGACATCGCGAGAAACCCGACATTCATATAGTTTTCTCTCAGACTGCAGAGAGCAAAGGAAGTCATATTCAAAGACCTATTATAAACAGTAGAAAAAGTTTGCTGCCGCTGCTGTATAAAATGTACATAGCGGCACAAAGTCAGAGTGGGCATGGTTGGGTGTAGCTATGGGAAGGGAAGCCCAAATGGGTAGGGAAAAGGAAGAAGAAGGGTACCTGATGAGTTGCTTTTTTATCATTTTCTGCCCATTTTTAAGCTAATTGCGCAAACATACAAGGGGCACAAACAACCACCCCCTCCCCTCTCTGAGTTTGAGGCTGTAACCAGGTGGTAGTGACTTATCCTTATCTCCTTTTTTCTCATTTTTCCATTTTGGATTTTACACTTTTATTTACTCATTGGTATTTCATTTTTTACCTTCTATGCCTATAAAAACATCTGTTTTCTGAGCACTGCACAGCTTCATTTGTAGTTTATTTGTTTCGAAGTACTTTCTCTTGTACGGTAAGAAGATCTTTTAGCAAAACATTCACCTCTATGTTATGTTTTCTAACCCCATTTTGGAGAAGGCTTTGAAGCATTGGTCACACACATGTACAGTTTTGGAATCATTGATGAACTTAACTTACAGGTCTTCAAAGGAATCAAAAAACTTTTTCTTCTTATAAGCATGTGGAAATAGCAAAAGTAGATGAGATTATGACAGGGAAAAATTTCATTATTTGAATTGGCCCTTTTTGGCTGTTTTAGCACACTATTCATAATCAAAGTTGTGCACTTATTCTGTGATGTCAATTTTATTGCTTTTCTACTAATATCATTTTAACCTTTTAGTTGCTTACGATATTGTCAAACTCTTGTTAAGCAGCTGTCTTTATATTTAAGCACACTATTCATAATCAAAGTTGTGCACTTATTCTGTGATGTCAATTTTATTGCTTTTCTACTAATATCATTGTAAGCTTTTAGTTGCTTATGATATTGTCAAACTCTTGTTAAGCACACTGTTCATAATCAAAGTTGTGCACTTATTCTGTGATGTCAATTGTATTGCTTTTCTACTAATATCATTGTAAGCTTTTAGTTGCTTACGATATCGTCAAACTCTTGTTAAGCGCATTTTTTATTAAAGTCTTGAATGAACTACGTGTTTTAGGTATTTGCAACAAGCCAAAAAACAGTTTCACTTTGAAAAAAACCAAGGAACCTGTAAAACAACATTGGTGGAGTTGATGTTGCCACTTAGAAACAGAATATTTGAAGTTTTGAATGTGGAAGAAATCACAACAGCACTTAAATGCAATCCTGGAAACAAACTTGTGTTATGGGAGGAATTGAAACTGCAGAGTTTTACACGAACATTGGTGTCACTCATTTCAACTTGTACATTGTATGTCTTTTTGCAAGTTCAAATAAGCATTATTGCTGGCTACATGTACTTGGAAAGTATTGAATGCTCGTGTGCAGATGAATTTGATATTTCTGAGTTGGTTCAGGGCATAGAAATGGATAGGCCTATTTCCAGTATTGAAAAAGAGTATCTTGGCAGCATCAAATTTTTGCTCACAGATGGCATCATTCTGATGATTGATAAGTTGAGGAGCATTGTGAATGGTAACATCTCTTTGCATACTTTTTATACATTTTTGATGACAAGCATTTTCGTTTGACGCAAGCGATCAATCGCAATCATGTCAGCACCTGCAAATCCCAACCACACAAGCATTTGATTGCTCATGCAAAACGGTAAATTGTGAGAAATATCATTGTGAGAATGTCTCATTAATCAACCCATTTCTAGTTCTCTTTTGTGACCCAAGCAAGTGACATAGACAATACAAAGCTGATATATCAAAACACAGAAAATTTAAGTAAGCTGAATTAGCCACATCTCAAAGGAAATAAGCATTTGAAAATCGATTCCTTCACGAATGTTCAGGGATACTATAGGCACTTAGTATTTGGACTACGTTAGCCCTGCGATCATCAAGCAACAAACATCCATATGACCTTTGTGATGTAAATAGAGTTTGTAAATGAAGCATGTTTATATTGGGTATTCAATTCTTGGAGTGAAAGTTGTTGCAACAGTTCATTTTCATTTGATATTGTCTTAAACAAATGAGTACCTTAAAACAAGATCATGCAGTTTTCAACATTACGGCCGCTTTTAGCATTATTCATTAGTAGTATTATTATTTTTGGAGCGATTGCTAGCGCAAGAGAAATCATGTGGGCACTGGGTTACTTGTATACTTAGGCTATTTTTTACGAAAAGGCCTGTGATGATTATAATATTTTTGGATTTTGATGATAAAATATTCATGGAACACTTGGTGTTACTTTGAGATTTTATGGATAATAACTCTATCACAAGAACAGGTGGTGATGTGATAAAAACAGCAAAAATAATGGACATCAATAAGAAAAACAAAGCATGAAATGTTTGGCAAAAGTGGAAAAATTAACACTATCTTTCATTGATACCAGGGGCCGATCCAGAAGGTTCTGACAGGTGCTTAGTTTAAAGGACCAGACCAAACAAATTTACCATGACCCTTTTTTTGTTGCTGATGTTAAGGTTACGGTAAACGTTTTGAACACGAAAATTGGTTTTTCCTTCCTAAAGGCCAAACGGCTCAAGAAATCTGGATAAACTATATATCATTCGATGCACAAGATTATGGCGTATCTAGCCAGATAAAAATTATTGGCAAATAATGTTAAATGTTATTTTCCATGCGAATTTACTGGTCAAAAAGTGTACCACCTTCAAAAGCTATTATGTACCCTTGCGTTTGAGGTAACAAAATCTGACTTAGACCAGCAGGAAGTGCAGGTCCTAAGCTACCAAAGTGTGTCTCAGATTTTTTAAATTCCTCCTCTTTATGAAACTATACCCTGTCAAAAATTGGCAAATAATTTTTCCACCCTCCCGCAGCTGTATTTGGGTATAAAAGACGGACCAGAGAAAATAAAAAAATTTTGAGACACACTTTGTTTGCCCAACGTCTGCCCTGGCCGTGTGCAAATTTTCAAGCCATTCGATTGGTTCCTTGGGTACATAATAGCTTTTTCGTACCTGCATGTAGAGGAATTTCGAGTCCGGAGAAAACGGGATTTTACTGATCGCACTTGCAAGATACACTCGTAAACCACAGTGTAATCCGGGTCAAGTCACTTGAAGATTTAAGATCAATAAGCCTGTTTAAATAAACACGGCCGTACATTGGATATATGGATGTGCCATGCGATATTGTAAACGAGACATGCGACCACAACCGCAAAGCAACGATAATCGGCTTAACAGGTCAAGAGATTTTCAGGCCTCAACTAAAAGTTTTGATAAAGAAATAATGGAAACCTTCGGTTACATGGGATTTTTTCCACTTTCAAAATTTCTGTTTGTTTCAAATTTGGTATCATTGTGTGCCTTGAAAGTTCGGCTACTTGAATGTGAAAAAATCGAAAAAATGATGTTTTCATCAAGAAAACGTTTACCGTAACCTTAAGTAGACAAGACAAAAGAGAAGTAAAATTTTGTTTTAATAAACCCATTCCAAGCTGCACAAGATACCTTTCAATCAGTGTTAAATTTGCATAAATTTTTAGCTTTCTTTTTGCGGAAACACTTTGAAAATCTGATCAGTGGTCAAGCACTTTTTGCACCCCTGGATCTGCCACTGGATAGAAGTGTCATTTTTATTATCCTATTATTTTAAATATTGTTTTATAGTGTAACTTTTACAGTTCTTGTCTCTGAATGTTTTTGTACTTTTCACCACAGATAATATTGCTTCAATGTCACTAAAAAGTGAAGTTACACATTATGAAATCTCCAAGGCCGTCTTCAATATCTGGAACCTATTCAAGGCTGATGCGGCAGGTTTATGCAAAAGTGGAAATCCAAGCACGAAGTCTCCATTTTCAATGTACCTCTTAAACATAGAAGATTCTAGAAAGAAAACGAGGTACCTTGATGAAGAGAAGTGTCAAAAGATGATTATGGAGACGTTTGATGTAATTGAAAGTGAAGATTTCCAGGCAGTCCTATCTGAATCTATTCAAGAATGCTTGCAGCTGTTAATGCAGTCAATAGAGCCTTACTTTCAGTATAAAGAGGATGGTGAGTTTGTGTTTCTTTCTTTTTTGCTCTTCAGTTTACTCTAATTTAATTTTATAATATATGTTGAAATCTCTGTTCTCTATATTGAGTATGTTTTATGCTGTAATGTATAGATTGAAAAGATTTTACCCAAGCCGTCAGTTTTGGGTTACTTTTTGAAACAAAGTCCTATCAGTAAATCTGGAAGGTATATTCTTTGTAAAAGGAAGGTATATTCTTTGCACTTTGAAAATTCGTATCAAAGTAGCGTTTGTATAATAAAGGAAAAAATTTATTGCAGGTGAGTTTGATACTGCCGAAAAAGGTGACAATGAGGCAAAAAGGGAAATGAGGTTACCTTTGGCAAAGATCGTACCAATTGTAAACTCTCAAAGCAACCAGATTTTTAGGAATGGGAAAAACCTTTATTTGGAGACTTTATTTTCAATGGATTCTATCAATGCATTTTCTGCAAATATATATGAATCATTCAGCAGTCAACCAGAGGCATAACTGGCCATCAAATGGAGGACGGGAAGTCCGCAGGGGTATCACGGCAAAAAATTATAATCTTATTTCATCAACTTTTTGTTGCTTTTCGTTTTTAACTAGATTTCTCTATTTCTGTTTCAAATCATATTTGCTTTGCAAGCCTCCTTTTTTTACCACTTAGTCGTAGATTGAAGCAGTGGTGCTTTTAAGTCGGTATTTCTATGAACCTATAAAGAATGTAAGATACAGTTAGTATGGTTGCCAATTAGTCACTATGTAGCTCACTATGTAGTGCTTTAGCTCTTCAGTTAAGTGTTGCTCTATCTAGATCGTGGCTTTTTCTATTTCTTTTTGCCCATGACTAATAACAAAGGCAGCAATTCAAGACGTCATTGGGTTTTCTTAAATTGCATAGGACATCTTCGGCCTTATGTATGAAATACTCGTTCCTTTTATTAAACTCTTATCGTGCGGTCGGATAGTCCTTAAGGTTTCTGATAAGATAAACGATCTGTTGCAATGGCGAAGGTTGCAGGATCGTCTATAAAATGCTATTCTTTTCGGACTTCACATTTTAATACACAGATTTTTTGAGCAGGGATCCCAGCATTTATTATTTGTTACTCAGTCGTTTGGTGAAAATGTTGGTGAAAATGTTTGATGAAAATGTTCGGTGAAAATGTTTGGTGAAAATGTTTGGTGAAAATGTTCGGTGAAAATGTTTGATAATGCTCGAGAATCGTGCGACAGAAGGAAGTTGTAGATACCCGAGCTAGCCAGTTATAGCAGCAGCAAATGACGTATTACATTCTCTTTGGTAGCAGTACTATATTTTATAATTAAGTCAATATTACCATAGTACTGCTATAAGCTACTTCTCTTCGAATACAGAAAGAAATTAAATGCCGCATGTGGACAGATCTTTACTACTTAAAGTGTCATGCTTAAGTTTTGCTTCTTAATTCAGTCCATAAAATAACTTTGATTGTTGATTAGAGAATCTGTTACTGTATACTGCAGCCAGGGTCTTCTTTTTGATCTGGAATTTAATATAAAAATTAAGTGTCAATAGAGGTCCAAGTATTTCCATATGAAATTTGATGAAATTTTAAGATTTATGTAATTAAATGAAGGCAATTACAGAACTCACCAAAGGTCCTGTCATCATCGTCATCGTCCATGACATCATAGTCATCTAAGAATAATTTGACATTGGCTTAGACTATGCAGAAACTTTTTCAAATGTCTTTAAAAAGGGTTTATCAAATTTACTTTTTGATCGAAGATGATTAAATAAGAATTCTATAATACAATCTTCAAAGGGACCAAACTTGTTAAGTTTCCTAACAACCATATGTTGAAACAAAATTGAGATGCAAGCGCAAGTAAAGAATCTTATATCGATCAAACTTGGCTTTGGGGGCTGTGAAGTCAAGTTCCTTATACCTTACCTTAGTTCTGACATGTACACGCTTCGATTTTGTTCTATGCGTGGTGACAATTTATGCGGGCGAGGTAGCTATATTTGTTAGCTCATCTATTTTGACTTACGAAATTCTGTTATGTTTTCCTGGCATGGTCTGATATCCTGTGTTTACACAAGCCAATATTTAAGAAAAAACTAGAAAGCTACAAAGGAACGTATTTAAGATATTTCAATTCTCATCCGTAACTTTATATAAATCATTTATATATCATGCCAGTTTATTCATAAGTTTATTACCGTTCCCTTCCTCCTCTTCTTGATCATAAAGGTCAGTTATTTCTTTTCTTGAACTCCGCTTATCCATTTCCCGTCTAGCAATCTGCCCAGCCAAGTAATCCAATGCTTCTGCCATTTCTATTTTGCCGTTTCTTTTTTCGTGAAAGGGCTTCTGGACGCCATGATGTCTTGGCTTTCCGTGCACTGAAAGAATTAATTATGTTTTAGTTTTAGCATATGGCGTTTAAAAATAATACTTAAAGACTTTTGACACTCGTCAACGTTTTGCGTATTTTTTTAAGCAAATGCTCTCGCTAACACAAAAATTTAGTTGAAATATTTTTAGCAAGGGCATCTGGAGATTACATTTCATATGTGAGTTTTGTTGCACTGCTAAATAATTTTTTTATGCTAGAAAATTTCACTATGGAACGAAAAAGCATTTCGTCCATTTCGTCCAAGCGAGTATACTGTGATATTTTGCTAATTTATTTTATTCACTGCCTTTGCAACCAACCAAAAGTTTAACGATTTTAGTAATGTGAAGGTAGGCATCATGTAGGGAGAAAGTTGGATATTATATTGAAAACAAGTAATCAAATATGGCAGAGATTGTAATTGTAAAGTGACGCACCTCTTAGCAGCAAAAAGCAAAACGCAATGAAGATTACCAGGGAACGTGGTTCCATTCTTCAAGCTTGATTATGCACCTGAAACAAGCGACGTTTTCAATTGAATTACAGGGGAATCAAATGATTGAGATTCATAAAGTTATCCTAGTTATGAAACACACTGGTTTTTTTGATAAGGTGGGAAGTTTAAGATGGACCACAAGATTGTTTGTATGAAAGCTGACCTCAGGTGCATTCGTGCATATGTATCGTTCAATAGAATGCAAAAGCGTGGTTCAAAAACTAGCAAATGTATTATAATTTTGCGAGCTATCTTAGCATTTAAAACTTGAAGGGTGAGCCTTGACGTCAAATTCTGAAACAAGAGAATGAAACCAAATAAGAAAAGTTTTCTCAGAAGGACAATCGTAACTACTTACCTCACGCGCTGGTACAGTTGTGTTTCCGATTGATCAATTTGACACGTTACTCTTCGACAGTTTTGAGACCTCCCCTCCCCTGTCTCTTATATAGCTCATTTAATCACGTGACAAACCATAAGTCTAGACGCTATTCCTATTCATAACCATATTCATATTTGAATAAACTAAAGGTTACCAATCGCTTGAAAATTAAACCATTAAGATGAAATAGGTGAGTATCAACTGTTGTTGCAGGGTGTGGTTTTTTAGCCCAGTAAATGTTTTTATAGTTGTTATTGGGGTAAGGTAAGAAGTTTTCTGATAGTCATAAAGCTTCCAAACACCAAAAGCATTATATGAGAGTTCTTTCTTCAAGTGCTCTAAATTGTACCGAGGAAAATCTTGAAAATCTTGTCCTTTAAACTAAAACATGGAATCTGATTCTTAAAAATTTTATGAAAATGCCTGTTTACGAAGATCAAATGATGAAAATGACTTTTTTTTGTACCATCTATTTTGTATTTAAGGCTTTGTAGATAATAAATTTTGTATTTTACAATCTCACTTCCAAACGACGCCTCTATAGCACATACGACTTTCTATAAGGATAGAGGTAAGGTTGGAACGGAAAATTCTGTGTACACATCGGAAACGGGGTAAACAAGACCATTCATAATGAAGATTAATTTTATCGTAAAATGGGTCTTAATCGTTTTTGTCTTTATTTTTCTGAAGTTGTCTGACTACACTACAGTAAATTTAGCCAATTAATTTAAATTACCATCGCAAAATATAAATCATACATAGGTAAACAACGTTACAAAGGTATTGCTTGCAAAGGTCACAGGTACATTTGAACGATAAAAATTTCGAAAATTTTTTGAAAATGGCTTTGAAAAATACAAACATTTTATAATATATTGGCTAAAAGCGTTTTCGTCTAACACTCCACAGAGCATAAGACATCAGAATAAGGGTCCAAAAGAACATGATGGAAAATATATACCCAGTTGTGGATCGAAATAAGCCAAACAGAAAAACGCAAGCACATGTCCAATCAGTACTGCGTGCCTATAGAAAAATCACCACTGGAGTCAAAGAGAAAACGAACTCCTTCTGTCTATAATGGCGGCTTTTTTGTTGGTATGTAGATCGATTCGAACACTGCTAGATGGAAAGATGACTGGGCGCTGCCAATTCTGCCAATTATGCACAATCTGGGTTATGTAAAAGATGTTGACCGATGGCAGAATCGCTTGTTTTAACAGTGTTTCTAGACCTACAAGATCGAGGAGGTTGTTCTTTTTGGGGGACAGTTTTGTTTCTTATGTTGTAAGAAACATGTTGTTTATCCTATTTCCCAATCTTTGGGTTGTGCGTCCTACGTAACCAGAATCACACTGGCACGTAAATTTGTTTCTTGAATATTTTTCATATCAAGAAGTACCTTTTCGTCGGGAATTGGGTTCCATATTTTGCTATTTCTATATTGCGCGGTTTTGAATCCATATATTTATAATGTGGCTCCGTTGTTTCAAATTGGGGCTTTATTTATGGAAAATATTTCACCCATCAGTATGTTTCTGATCAGTATATTTCTATTGCACAATATTGGAAATATTTTAAGAAAGTTGATTGTGTTTTTCTTTAATAAATGTTGTTCAAAAGTTGAATGATAGTAGTTATGAGCTATTCTAATTGTCCTTTCATTAATCCTGTTTACCAGGCTATTACATTTTCTACTATAAAAGATCCAAGTTGACGGAAAACAATTTAAATGTTTTCATCAAGATTATTTGCTTAAAATCATCCATATACGAATGAATCTGGGCTTTATAAAAGTTTTCAATATGTTCTTCTAAGTTGTTGGTCCAATGTAACTTCAAATGATTTAGCATTCTCACTTTATTTAAAAGTACAACCATTTAATAGAGTTTTAGATCCCTCTAGATTGAATAGGCCCTCTAGATTGAATAAGTTTTAAGCTTGCTTTTATCCCCGTTGAGTATCATAACATTTTCGCAAAACCATTTACGAATGTAGTATAGCTGCTACTTATTCTAAGTCGTCAGTCGTCAGTTCATTTATATCAGTACCGACAGTAAAACTGTATTAGCATCTGCATAGGTGCATGGGTTGCTTTTGTTCAAATGAAGAAAATGTCAAATTATCCTTAGGTAACTCGGTACATTTATAAACCATAATTAAAAACACACATACACGACCAACAATTTTTTCTAAATTTTCTAATTTACAAAGCTCAGTAAAAAATTTTATTGAGTTATTTATGCAACACACGGGATCTCTCAAAATCCTTGGCCCAAAAAAGCCAGTGACCGAAAACATGGAGAAAATGTCGCTAATGTAAATGTTGAGAAGCATGGGGCCTAAGATTAATCCTCCAGTAACCCCCTGCATTGTTTCCATCCAGTTGCTATAATCTAAGTTTTTTTAATGAAAGGAAGTCAATAAACTCTAAACATAAACACAATCTTGATTACCATAAAACCGAGTAACTGATCATCGAAAACATAGCGACTGATAGGATCAATTGAGCCTCAATTTAATTGAAAGGGAAAGAGACTTGTGCTTCACAAGACTCCACTGCTCCATATTCCATAATGACGGCAACAATTATCTAATGCAAAGCAGAACAGCGTTTGAAAATCAAGTTCCCAAACTGCTGATTCTCGATTTTATTCGCTGAATGATTATAACTACTTTAAAATAAAATTGATAGTGTTAATTAAATCTAGAGATTTCGGATTCTTGTGGCTCAGTCAGGGTGATCGTATCATGACTCATTCAGCTTTCAGGTCCTGAGCCCCAGTGTAGTTTCTGATGGCGAAAAGATTGACAACATGTTTCATTTCATTTAATGATATTTTCTCTGGCAAACCCCGACGTGCGAAATATTAATTCAATTTACTTTATTTTAAACGTTGGTTCCTTGAATTGGATGAATTTATATAGGATTGCTCCGTATAAATTTGCGCTGTTTTTGCCCATTGCTTACTGTCAAATTTCTCATCGCACGATTCATAGAAGTCAGCAAAAGGCCTTATCTAACCACTCTTTGTTCTGGCACAAAATACTTTGACTTCTCTCTTGTAAAAAAAATTGCTCCTGCAAAAGTCTTGTGATTTGGAATTAACAATTTTCTTCACCTCACAGTTATCTGCATCTATTTCACAGGAGGTAGCTAATTGTAACTGTGCGTCAGAAGATTCCCCTATCCCCCTACTAAGATGCGCTACGTAGTGTTTGACCGAGCCCAAAGACCCACTTTCTTGTCTTGTGTCAAGGCAGTGTTCGCTGCTCGCTGCAACATAAAATCTTAGCTGTAGAACTTACTACATTTACCCTCAATTAAAAACAGAATTTGAAGTTTCGTTATGGCTTTGAAGATTTTATTCCTCTGCGTATCTAATCCGTCTATAAAAGATTCCCTAAATCTTTCAGAACATTCCAAGTACAAAGACAAAATGCGTGAAATTATGTAGTTAAGGAGTCTGTTTGCTCTTTGTTCCGTTGCAGAAAAGTTCCAGACATAATATTGCACATCGGCTTGCACTCGAGTTCTCCAAATGCGTCACGCAATGAGTTGAATATACCTTAAATCCTCGAATAAGCCCTCACGCTCGAATAAGCCCCCCCCTCGAATAAGCCCCCACCTAAAAATCATTTTTGCAAACAAGCCCCCCATCGAATAAGCCTCCATGGGGACTTATTCAAAGGAAGCATAATTGTAGAATAATATCTTATTCAAGGAAGCTCCTACAGGACAGGACATTGGGGATAGGGATGGGCATCTTCTGATATAACGCCCTTTAGACTAGGGCATCACAAAACTTTTTTCATTTAATCATTAAACAGAATATGAAGTAATTGTTGGAGACGTCGAAGATGTGTCTAGAAGGAAGCAATTGGCAATTGTCGCTATGATCAAATTAAACAATATTTGGATCAGAAAAGACAAAATAAAGCAAACTCTGAATGTCAAGTTATACAAGTCCTTAGTCAAGCAAATTCTTCTTTATAACTTTGGAACTTGGTGATTAACAAAGAAAGAAGAAGAAAGTTTAAACTCTTTTCATAGACAACAACTAAGGAGGGTTATTAATGGTAAATACCCTGCACACATAAGCAATGAACAAGTGTACAGGCAAACTGGCAAAGACGTCTTATCCCTGGAAGTGTTACGAAATAGAGGGAAATTATTTGGACATGTTCTACGATCACACCCAGAAACACCAGCGCAAAAAGCAATGAACTACTATTTTGAAAAATCAAATCCAAAGAAGTTTCGCGGAAGACCAGTAATTACATTGCCAGTTATGCTAAAGAGACATAACACGTTCAAAAATAGATATTGCAGCATAACCCAGTTCAAATCGATTAATGATCTCGAAAGCCTAAGAACACTAGCACAAGAGAGACAAACTTGGACAGCACTAGTTAACGACATTTATGTTGCTGCTAAAGCAGAAAAGAACTAATTATCGTTTTTCTATGCGGATATAGCTATTATATATATGAACTAATTTCGCTTAAGCCTATAGTGAAAGCATAAGCTTTTGTAATGTTGCAGGTTTCCTCGACAGGGACAATCTTAATTTTGAAAGATTCAGCCTTTTTTATGCTCTTTCTCCTTTTGATTGTTTATGCAATAATCTGGTTTCGAGGGTGAGGGGGGGTGGGGGCCGTGCTTTAACTCTGAAGTCCCCGATTTGCGGAGGAGAGGGCTCGTAGAGGCTCACGGGAATGGACGCGGGGTGTTTGAAGGACAAGATGGAGCCGAGAAGGAGAACGTTTGGTGAAGTGTCATATATTAGAAAATAGCACCAGCACCATTAGATACTGAAAGAGCTATGGATGAATTTGATGGTAAATTAAGTATCCACCGCTTATTTTTTATATCAGTATCGTTTCTTTTTCGAGAAGATTTAGTTTTTGCGAATGAAGCCCTTATCAAATAATTGTGTCCGCCGTCCGGCGTTAAACATCTTAGCTTTTCTAGCTTTATTTGCTGTTATTTGTTTCATTTGATAATCGTGCCGAAGAATCTTTCTTATAGCTTTACTAATTTTGATAAAGTACTGTGTGGCATATTAAGCTGGAACGAGACAGGTGTCTTATCCTGCTAACTTGAACTATAAATGTGTCCGCTATTTGCTCATGTTTCAGAACACTTCAACTGGAACAGCAGTAGAGGCAATTTTGCATTTGCATCAAATCTATAGATTATCTAACGCGAACGTGCCCTTTTAAACCAGGTTTTACATTATTGTCCTGTTTTGAATATCATTTGTTTACATTAATACTGAAATTTATAATTTCAAATATGCGTTTTAAGTTGCCTATGGTACCCTAAGCCCTGAATCTTACCTAAAACTGAACTTAGATTTACACCAGAGATATCAGGCATGGACTAATCATCTTCATTGTATTTGTTGGGGAGTGGGACAAGCACATGTTTATAGGACCGTGACTTTTTCAAAATTTTGCATCATATACACATCCACAAAGCCAACATCCTTATTTTCACACCTCGAAATATGTTTGTGGTAGAGACATTTGTGACACTAACTAGAATCATCCTATCTCAAAACAAAATACAAAGAAAATTTGGAGAAAAGGGTGTCACAAAGAGAGTGAGAACAGAACTATGGTATATATAGTTTTAGTGAAGGGAAATAAGTTATAAATTTTGCAGCGTGCTTGAAAACAAAATAGCAATTGTTTGCCCAAGCAAATAATGCTACTTGACTTGGCACCTTCATGAATCATCAAAGAATATGTATTAGAGGAAATTTCACTTTTAGGTACCTTTACTTGAGGTAAAGTTGTCCTATTTTTGTTGTTTCTTTTTATTTCTTTTCTTATCATATTGTTTGAGAGAGGCCTTTCTTCTTCTTCTGTTTGAGAAAGGACTGAATGTATTGAGAACGTCAGGTCTAGTATTGTGAAATTTGCTGGGTTACTGGTAATCAACTCCCCTTAATAAGTTAAGGCCTATGATGGCTGCAAGCCCTTTCAATTTAATACATACTCTTGAGAATATCATATCACTGCTTGAAAAGGCACATAAGACTTTTTTAAACCAAATAGCTTTTAAAAATTTTAGAAGAAATTTTTTGAAAAATATCAAGTTATCAAAACACATACAAGTTTTTTTTATTGGCTGTGTCTCTGAAAATGCTATCTAGATAAGGGAGACAAAAGAAGCTAAAAATTCAATTTAGAGAAAGACAATAAGAAAGTAAAAAGAGCAAAGAGAAAATGGAGAAGTCAGTCAAAATGAGGTACTGTCTGTGCGTTAAAATCCAGGCCTAGGGAGTTTTAGCTTTGTGTGGAAGCATACGCATTTCTTGATAATCATCCTATATATCCTGTAGAGAACTGCCTCTATGTCTTTATTGAAGAATGCCTGGTAAATGCAGCATATGATTAGGTAGCTGACCTTAAAATCTCTATGAAGAATTTGATAAGCTGTCCTACAAACATCTACTTTGTAATGATAAAAATGAGTTTTAGGAACCTTCACTTCTTTTAAAGGTGTTTGACATTCAAACAAATAAACTTACACAATGAGTCACCAGAGTTTCAACAATGTTTTACATTTTCTGCCAAACACCTATTTAAAGACGTTTTTCAAGCTACGTTTAAGTGCCATTTGGACAATTATGTTCTGGCTCCAGTTAAATAATACAAACTAAACATATTCTACATAATAGGTATTTTACATGGTGCAGGCCTTGCTCTAAGCAAAATGAAGGTTCTAAAATAGCCCCTTAGAAACTCTTCATGGCTGGTTTTCACACCTCAAAAAAAGGTCCTTGAGAGCATCTTTTGAGAGCTTCAGAATATAGAGAGCGTCATATCGAGAGCTTCAGAAGATTGTTAAATAAGAAATTCAAGAGTGATACTAAAAAGCACCATAATATAAGATAACAAAACATACAACAAACACTATATTATTATAAATATAGAAATATAAAACAAAGTCTCAAAATTGTTTAGATTTGTAAGTTGTCATCTTTTGATGAGCTTTTATCACTGTCATGTTACTACTGCTATGTTCAGCTTCACATATTGCGTCATCATAACGCATAACTTTAGGTCAAAAGGTAAACAAAGTTGCAGTCTGGTGGGAAGATTGTTTATGCTTGATCAAGTTTATCCACCAAAGGCCAAAAAACTATTCTGCTCCATGGTAATATCAATTTTACATTTTGAGGGGCTTGATAAATTGCTGTCCAAGGCTTTTTTTAGGGTGTGTTTCTTATGGGAAGTGAAGGTGAAAAGCCAGTTATTTGTTTTCCATTCTGGACTGTTGGCAATTTTCTTATTGATAAATTGTGCTTTTAATGTATAAATAAAGCACTAAATCCAGGTCATACATTTTTTTCAATAACTTGATTGGTTTCAATGTATAATGCTAGCCATTGTTGAAATTTCTAAGATGAAAATTATTTTGTCTTGTAGCAAGCAACCCTGCAGAGGCACTTATAAGTTTGAAGGGTATGCATCTACACTTCTTGGCTTGTTTAAAATTGATTATTTTTTCAAAGTTTTGAGGATTTAGAAAACCGAATAAGATAGGAAGTTGTAGGAAATGTTAAAGATACCAAAGTAACTGAGGAAGTGATTTCAAGTAAACAGAGTCTATGAAATCCAGAATCTATGAAATCCAATAGAACAATTCTGAAGAACAAAAGTGGTATGATTATTCAAATTCTCTTAATGTGAAGTGCCTTCCACAAAGTACACAAGAAAAGAAGTGCATAAACCTAGCAAACAGTCAAGGTTAATTTGTTTAGTGAATATATGTATTTAACTGTTACCTAAATATAACAAATTTTAATTGCAATTTTTGTACTCAATGTCACCTGCTTTCAACATTCAATAAAATTCTTCAGTTTGTATATTATGACTTTTTCAGAATCTGGCAAGAAAACTCCAGTCAAAAACAAGTTGGATGCAGTAAATATCTTGATAATATATATAAATCTTTATTGCATTTAAATCTGTTCTAGACTTCGTCTGCTTTTTTTGTCTCATAGTAAGACACCAGTCACCTATTATTGTAAGACATCTATTATAAGATATGTGTATGAAATAGAAATTTGTCATAAATAGGACAATATTTACACAAATTAGATATCTTTTTACTTATATAATTGCATATATATATATATATAGTGCAGCAAGAATTTCTACCAAAAAGTTACATAATTTGTTAGTGGTTTCTCAGAATCAGTTGGCTAGATGTGTCAGCATCTATGTGTTAATAATATAAATCTGTTCGTTTATTCATCATTTCTGCCTGATTACAGTATAAAGTATGGCTGAAAATAATATCATGCAAAAACCCTAGAGACATGAAGGCTTCGCGATTTTATAGCTTACCTTTTTTTGGACAAGGACCATAACTCTGTTATTTTCTTTTTGCATCTTATATTTCATGAAATAAAATTCATCTTCATTTTCTGTATTCTTACAAAAGAGCTGGTTCTTTCATGGGGTCCCAACATTTCATTTCATTGTATACTGAAAGTTAGAATCCTACTGTCTTTTAGTTGAAAATACTAAGATAAATCTTTTATCTTGCCACTCGTAGAAAGTTTCCGCAGAGATTTCTGATGCTTTTGATGACGATGATTTTTATGAAGATGAAGATAATGATGGTGCTTATGATGATGATGTAAGAATTCTGTCTTCCAATACAATATGTTCAGAATGTTTTGGAAAAAATTATCTGTAAACGTTTTCAGGGAAGAGAGAACGGTCAGAGCCTTTATGTAGGTTATTGATACATTTAAAGCGTTATGGTTGCACTGGAAGTGATCTCAAAGGAAATGACGTTTATTATTTACTGTTTAGAAACTCTTGGTCAAGGCAAACCTTTTATTTCTCTTTCAAGGAGAATTTTGATTTTACAACTAATACTTAAAACAGCCATTTGTTCTGGTTAAAATCTTGTAACAAATCGTTTGTGCCAATTATTTGTCAGTTGGCTCAGAATGCATAAATTTGGATGGCATTGTCAAGTGCTTCGGGAATCAACCGTTTTTTATTGATTGAAAGGGGTAGCGATTATTTGGGTGGTTAGGTTTCCATTCGGATCATACAATGTTCATGTTATCCAACATGAAATTGTCTGATGAAGGTATGCTGCATTTTGTATTTAATAAAACTCGACGAGACGAATTTTAATAACAACTTTTTGTTCCTTTCCCTTCCTTAGGATTGGCCTTCATCCCCGTCACCCCAGTCTTTATTGCCAAAGTAAGTGATTGTTACTTCATAACACCAGTTTTGTTGCATAAATGTTATCAAGACATCTTATTCCATTTACCTATCATTATTTGTCATTCTGCTCAAGCAGCCACTTTGATGGAGCTTCTTTCTATTTTTAGGAGAGCTAAGGGGTCTCCGTCAAAAAGTTTTTTGTGGGTATGTAGTTTATTACTTTATAAAATAGTTATATAACTTTTCATTTTTTTCTTCTACGATTTCTTCACAACGCCAACCTGACAAAGGATTTCACACAGTGGAGTAACGCAATTTAGGGCATCTTAGTTCGATAACTTAGGGCCTCGATCAATAGGAACCCCCAATGTTTTTAAGACTTTGCTCGTGTTTACTTTGCTTTTCAAAGACTTTAGAACTTCGTAAACTTAAGCATATAACTCAGCTCCACCAGGTTGACGAGAAAAGTCATCATTTTTACATCTCACTTTTCTGTTTATCATGATTTAAATCTTTGGATAGAAACTTCTTGAGTCTGTCGATAGAGGTCCTGTTTCAATTTTACTCCTAAAGGCCTCGGGTGTCTCCGTTACTCCTTTGATGTCACAACCCTATTCTTAACCTCATTTAGATCTCGATTATTCTTTACTTATTTATTCTCTCGATTATACTCGTTTATATTCAGGGCTCAATATTCACATTTGCAGAAAAAAGAAACATGAAGGTAATGAATTTATATGTTTGTTTTCAAATTAGTTCAAAACATCAAATCTATCCTTTTAATTTCTCAAAATATGTTCGAACATTGGGAAAATTTAGCAATTTAGAAATCATTATGAAAATGTATTTCCAAAGAAATAATGATTAGATAAATTTGATTTCTTTTTGGTTCACTTTTCGAATTTGCATAGAAATCAAACATTAAAAGTAAAAAAAACCTTAAAAAGTGTGCAATAGAATTATCTTTAGATGCTGAAAATTTTTCTTTTGGTTCTGAAAGCATTTTTGGCCATAGATTTTATCTGCTTAAACAATCAGCGACTTGTGAATAAATTGTCAATTAATTTCAGGCACTGAGTCACCATCTCAACAATCTCTTGAAACAGTCAAAGGCGCGTCGCTGGGTTTGTTACGAATGGTTTTATTCGGAAATTGATAGGTCAGTACGTATCTAAGTCAGTGGAATCTTCTAGACACCGCTATCATTCCTTCGTTTTGTTTAGCATTTTGTAAACATTCTAAAACTTGTAACAAATTGTCAATTATTTTTGGTATGCTTTGTGATCTACTATCTTTGTACTGAATTATTTAAAACTTTATTGCATTTAGTTCTAAGGGTAACCAATGTATAAGGGTTGTCTGTTTCTTTTGAAGCCCTTCTTCTAGTTTGGGATCGGTTATTTTTGGTTTTGGCTTTTTATTTTCATTTGAAAATGTCAATACTAGGTATAAAAAGGCACTATCCTTTCCGATCTTGCGATGAACTGAATACATTTTCTTAATTTGTTGACGTATTTTCATGTTTTTCAGAGCACTATTTCTTGGAGAAAACGACTTTACCCAGTGTTTAAAAGACTATTTTCCAAATTTGAAGGTATTCTTTTGGTCAAATATGAAACACAATATATTTTTTGCAAACAGTGCTTGCGTTTCCTTTCAAGTTGTCATATTTAGATTAAATACATTTACTTCCTTTGGCACGAGAGCTCATAAGTAAATGCCTTGACCACCTTAGAGAAATTTTGATTGCCCATGTTCGATCAGAGCTGCTTCTCTGAAATGTGAGAAAATGGTTTACCTTGCATGGGAGAGCAACAAGATGTGATTCCTGCATAGAAATCAAGAATATTTTCTATGCCTCTTACACATCAAGTACAAAATGTAAAACTGTTGGTGTCATTTTTACAGATGGCAATTATTCTGTTTTGTGTAATTTATCTTTTTGGCCATTGTTAGCAGCTTGCTGTTTTTTCCTCCAGGGGCGGACACTTGGTCAAATATTGGGGGAGAGGGGGGGGCTGGGATGGGCAAGCATATTGTTTTGATAAAGTGACGTCGCATGTTCCCATTGTTTTAGAACAAAATGCCATTATCCTCCAAAATATGGGGGCGACTGCCCCCTCGCCCCCAGGTATGCGCCACTGTTTTCCCTGCATTTCCTTCAGACTCAAATACAGACTGTAAACAATTTAATATTTTAAGCAATCTTCTGGAAAATCATTGTTATCCAGAAAAACTTTGACTACTTAGTACAAAGTGCTTACATTGCTGATTTTAGACACGCTGTCTGACTAGAACCCAGTGGTCGATGATTCGTAGAATGATGGGGAAACCAAGGAGGTATGAGTCATTTCGTGTATAGAAACTGTACCCTCGGAAACAACTAGTCATTAGTTTCATCACTTTTAGTTATAAGAATAGTTTGATCACTGGCTAGATACCTTTTCACTATTTGTTATCTTATGGTTTCAAATACCTTGCATTCTTGATCAGCATATCTGATTTGGTATGGTTATGCATAGCCCACATTTGATAAGTGGTTTGCCAATTATCTTGCTACCGAACTAACACGTTATGACGTTTTGTTCCATATATTCGTTATTGACTCATAGATTTATAAAGCTTCGATTTCTTTTATCAGATTACCAGGTTTATCTGTTAATCAAGATGACGCTGAGCAAATTTAATTCCCTTGTGTGAATGCGCTTAGAGGTCTACAGCTATCTTCCTAATCAACTTGATAAGCAACGGAGGATGCCTATCGCTGACGAGGGCTGTGTATTCATATTGGAATGTGTTGGTTTTATTATACATTTCGTTCTGCCAAATTCCTTAAAACGATAATGTTTGCTTGGTTTTTGACATTATTGCAGTCGTAATAGCAGCGAAAGTTTCCCAATGAACCACGCGTCTGTTGATTGGATTAGTTGTGGGAACCATCGAAGTTGCGTTTTTAACGACTTGCGTTTTTAACTTGCGACTTGCTGCTTGCTTGTGCTGGACGGTCAAGGCATGAGATCAAACTTCAAGCTTCAAGCTTTTTGCTTCGTGGTTTGAATGACAATTGTGTTTCTTAAAGAGTCCTCCTTTGTAAAAAATGGGATAGGTTGTTAATGAATAGCATTAAGTAGTGCAGTAGTTGCTCTAGCTGTAAACAATGAATGACTGTAGAGAATGCCCTTGATCTTGCGGGGGAGGGTGGTGGGTTTTATTTGTGCTATATATCATCTAATATACTCGGCCTGCTTTTTTTCCAATTATCATGGATCCTAAGATGTAGAGCGTGTCTTAAGAGAATCAAAGAGAATGCGCTAATGCACTCATTCTTTTTTAAAAGGTTATTTCCTTTGGAACTTTAAGCAGTGTTTCTTACACGGATAATTATAGTCGGAAAGACTTTTCTCAGCAGTGGTGAAGTCCTTCATGTAAATACGCCTTATTATAAAATCGTGCTTATGTTACTCTGGATCCCCTCTTGGGCAGGATCAAGGTAATCACAATAAACGCAAGCTAAATAAAGGGTGGAGGAGCCACTCCCAAATTAGATTGTTAATTATCTGCATGATCATCGATTAAGCTCAATAAGACATTATTTAAGGGCTTTAGTTACTTGGGAGGAATATTCTTTCGGGTTTCGAATGAAGCATGTCTTTTTTATCTGTAAAGGTTGCTATGTAGCTCGTGCCTGCCATTTCTCTTTTTGATTTTGATAGTCGATAATCTTCATGATCTTTCATATTGTTTTTGTGTGCACCTTGCCAGACTACCCACAATGATAAAATTAAACTACTATTATTGCTCCTCATGAAAGTATTCCTTGTCCTGTTTAGATGCTCTCCAGCATTCCTTGCTGAGGAGAGGAAAGCGCTTGATGCCAAAAGGAGGAAGATTCGTTATCTGATGCAGCGTAAGGCAAGGGCATTCATAGTTTGCTATTTTGTTAACTGAAGACTCCATTGACTTCTTAGATAGCAAAAGACTCCTTTGAAGCATTTTTATAGTCTATTTTACCTCTGACTTTTTCCTTTTTGAGTTTTGAGACATCTGATTATTTCTAATTTTTTGCTTTAAAAATGCCAAATAGTATTTTTTTGCTTTTCCATAAATTTATTTCATCTTTAATTATTGTCTGTTGTCGGTTAAGCTGGTAAATTACAGAATATCAAATGAATTTTGAACACGCCTTGAATTGGGGTATGTTTTTAAGTATATTTTCTTGTTTAATCACGTAGTAAAATGCTAAAATTGGTTCAACCATTTATTTAGAAAAGCAGGTGTCCCTATTCCTTCCATTTGTCCTATGGGTGCCTTTCGAAAAATTTACAACGTTGAAATAGTTAAAAGGTAGCCATCCCTGTATGGTTAAAAGGATAAAAAAAGTTGATTCTTGGAGACTCAAAGGAATCACTTGCATCAAGGAAGGCTATTGGTCGGGGTAGACTGGAGAATAAATCTAACACATTCTACAAGGGGGGTTTTGCTTGGGCAAGAGGGGAGGTGCGAGCCCTCTTCCATAAAGTAGGACTACTGCTTAGGGTAGACTGGAGACTAAATCTAACATTCTACAAGGAGGGTTTTTCCTTGGGCGAGAAAAGAGGTGCAAGCTCACTTGCATCAGGGAGGAGTCCTATATCGGTGCTTATCCACTTTTAGCAGCATGTAGCTGCCATACAGAACCTTTTGTTAAAGTTCCGTAAAGCTAGATTCAATTGTGCAATTTTTAACTTTTTTATCGAGCAGACTAATTATTTTGTTTCAGATAGCTGATCCTTCGGATTTCAATACTTTCAAAGATTTACCCGACGAAATCGCCCTTCCAATTGTGATTGGAACCAAAGTTACAGGTGAGATTTTTCCTAGATTATATTTTCTCGTTTCGTCGATTTGATACAGCTTAGTAGAATTCGGATGTTTCTATTGCGGCCTCGTATCTATGTAAGTTTTAAAACAGAAAGGCCTTGCTGCATATTTAATATGTGAATGGCTGTCATTTTTCATTGTTTTGCTTTTCAGCTCGCCTGCGATACCCCCAGGATGGTTTATTCTCTGGTCAAGTTGATGCTGTTGATACACGCGATAACACTTACCGAATCACGTTTGACCAGCAAGGTAGCATCGATTTCTTTATTTATTCCATAACCAGTCTACGTTTTGAATCTTTGTGAACGAAGGAATGTCAACTGAATTAAGAACTCTTCATTAATTGTGTCCTTTAAATTATTCTAAGAATCGCTTTTTTTTTAGATTTGGGAACTTGCACTGTGCAGGATATCGACGTTGAAGTGAGTTGTTGCCTGTCGTGATGAACATAAAGTTAAGGCCGGAAATGTGTTTACTTGCTCGATCTGTGTACATTTATCATGTTTAATGTTTCTTAATTAACGATATAGCTTAAAAAGCATGTGTATTCACCTTTTCGTTTATTTTTGCTCCATGTTATACCTGTATCCAACCATTACCCTTTTTATGTAATTCAAGATGATATCTTCACTGGGTGACTGGCCAAATATCAGCTTAACGAGCCAAACTTTCACTTCATCGCCGTCCTGTCATTTATTTATTATGTTGTTTTTACGCTGATATTGCTCATCATCTTTCTTTTAATTCCTTTATGCTGTACAATGTGATATCATAACTACAGATTTGTATAGATCTTTAAGCAAACTTTCGTTTTGTAGAGCAATGAAGGCCACGAAACAATTCCTATTTCATCTCTAATTGCCAAAGATAGACCAAGGTTTCAGATGACAATTCTTTCGCCTTCAAAGTAAGATTAAAGTACTTGCATACTGCATACTAAATGTATCTCAATTTCGTAGAGGTGTTTTTATATTCTCTCTAAAGGGACAATGAATCTTCCTAGATACGCATATAAATGATGTTTTTTCGTTTTTTTGCTATTTTATATTCTTTATTTAACCCTTAGCTTCCATTAATAGCCAATTTTCCCTCTAGACAGACGACAACTGACACAGATCTTTACCGGGTAGGTTTTTCTCATTCCAGAAGATTTTAAGCCGATATTTAAGCCAGAATCACTATTTCCCTTGATGTGCCAGCGCTTTTCTCCTGGTGTTTTATTCGGGTTTCTTGTTCTCTTCTTACTGATGCCTCCTTTGGGTAATTTTCTCCTTTTTTTCTATTCGACCTAAAATCAGGCGCGGCAACTAACAACTTCCTTTTTCAACGTTTAATGTGCTTTATCACAGCGATGTTACTTTTTTCAATATTTTACCACTGTGCGCATGCATGTTGTCAGTTTACTTTCTTGTACACCAAAGATGAATAGGTTGCTTTCCATGCTAGGCTACGTCATCTTCCTTTGAATCTTAACTATTTAATTTACATCCTTTGCAGGGAGACGATGCGACGATATCTTCCTCACCTGCCAGGTTTTTCTTTATTTATCTACTTTATTTACTGTTCTTGTTCTCAATGGAAATTCATCTGTGTGTTCCTGATGGACTTCATTTCTTTCAGCGTGCCTCTTAAAGCAGACCAACCAGCTTTCACTTACCTTGCGCAACATTCACTTCTCGGCAATTTAACTCGCTCATAATGTTCCCTTTGTTCACAATATGTTCAAAATCCTTCTACCTTTTGCGCCTTTGGTAATTACGTTTTGTGATTTACCTTTTAGAACGAGATTGGAAGATGCTCTGAAAAATGTAGACACGGGTAAGTAATGATATATTTTGTTACGTATCATTTCCAAAAGAGAACCGTTTTGCTTAAGAGCCCCCTATTGAATGTGTTGCGTTTAGTTTGCAATTTATTTCTTCAACGATTAACAGACAGTTTCACGTGACCAGTTTTTTCTTGCAGGTGGCAGCTACGGTGGTTTTCCAATCAAATTTTTGGTTCTGGCCGTAAGTAATTTTCATTCATAGTATGTTCTATTTTCTTTTGTTTGAAAGTTGCAAAATTGTAGCAATGTCGACTAAATATCGTGACGAGATTTATTCATATATCTTCTTAGACTCGACTATCAAAAATGTTAACAGTGAAGAAAAAATGTGTATCGAGTCTTAAAGAAATGAATGGAAGAGCAGAGAGAATGGTGAGTTATTATTTTCATGATATTACTGTGTCATGAGATAATTTAAAACTGTGCCCTGCCATATTGCATCAAAATTCGTTCTGCTATTTGGTTTTTAAGTCTTATCGCATTATGTTATGTTTTATTTTACACACTATTTTCCTTTATTTTTATAAAATAGACATGCTTTATGCTGGTTTTTCCAGATTTGTCATTAGGATGCTTTTCCTAGAGGAGAAAATGCTTCTACCGTTAATGAATTCGGTCGAATTTCAGGAGTCTTACGGTGAAACGTTTTCAAGAGACTTCCAGAGAAAGTATGCTGGGATAGTTCTTGAACTTGAAAGAGTTAATAAGGTATGTTCGAGTGCTTTATAATTTTTTATATCACCATTGAACCTATTACCATATTGAGTCCATAGTTTCAGATACATCTGTCAATAACTTCTTCTCGTGCATGAATGGCTGTAAGGCATGCTCCAGTTAGTGAGGGTAATGTTTTGGCAGGAATTACACCTAAGAAATGGGGTTTGAAAGCTCTCTCTGCTGTTACCTATTGTTCATTATTTCCATTGGTACTCTGTGTCAATCGTTTCATTTTTATACAGCGCGGTTGTTGCACTGACATGCTTCTGTGAACTCTGAAAGCTAAGATTGTTTTATCCAGCTTTTTGATACTTCATTTTACTCTCAAGGTAACAATGAATCTCGTGCTTCTCTAGGACCTCAATACGTGTCTCCAAGGCATACAGGAATACTGCCAAGAGGTATGCATTTGTTAAATTGCTTGCCAATCGAATACTTTTGTATGGGCCTGCGTTCTAATAATTTCACTCACTTGTAATTTTAATCAATGTTTATTTAGTTTTCATACTTACACCAGTTACATCTCTCTGTGAGCCAGTCTTTTTTATATTGTCTGCCAAATGACAAAAATTACTTCCAACCAATCTTAGCCAACTCAAGGAAATTGGGCAGCTTCATTGGACCACACAAACAGCATGCAAACTCAGTGTGATCGAGAAGCCAAAGTTATGGTTGGAAAAAGTGAGAGAAAGTAAGTACTCTAAGCTGTTTTTTGTTTTTTTCTTTTTATTCATCCTTACATACAATCGCATAATCAATCTTAAAGATTACGTAATATTTTGCCTTGGAAACAGATAAATTTTTCATCACTTCATTTTGACTTTCATTGTATCACTTACTGCTGTTTGCATTCTTGCTGGTTGCTTCTATACCTGTCAAACCTTTGTATAGAATCATATTCTCATTCAATGTAAACATTTTTAGTGTCCAAAGCAAACATATGAAACAGCTGATCAGTGATCTCACGTCTCTCCTTCTGCAGATCAAGGTTTGCCACTTTTCTTATCTTTCACTTATCTGCTGTTTTTATTGCAAGTAATTTTAGAGTAATGCCACAAAGTTGAAAAACTTCGAAAAATCCAAATTTGGCACTTAAGTTTTATTTGTTAGCACTGGCCTCTCTCACAGTCGTAATTACAATCATCAAACGTGTGAACGCTTTGTTTTCTGAATGCAGTGTAGCACTGTACTTTTGCACTCTTCGTCCAGTGCATAACGCAAAAGTTTGATAATGACCAAAACGTTGGTGAAAAATGAAGAGCCGATCGAAAGGAACGCAACAATAAGAATTATGCGTTAGAGTGGTTTTTGTTTGATGGACCATTTTGAAAATCGCTGCATGACTATGATAATCCTAATTTCAAATCTAATCAAAAGGCACTATCGTGGCAACTGTTGCTAGGGTGCTTCACAACAACCTTTCCAATTTGCATTAACTTTGAGGCTGTTGTTTCCATTGCTCATTCCCTTGTTGCTACTAATCTCTTGTCAGTTGCACCTTTTGAGGCAGTCAGATACTAAAAGTAAAATCACTGCCAAATGTCAACATTGCTTTTTGGGGGAAAGGGGGACGGAAGTAGAAGTATTCGGGAACCAAATGAAAAACAGAAAAGCACAGCACAAAGTGTGGGGTGTTCCAAGTAATTTTGGAAGTGATTGTACCTTTGCGAACCTACTGACGCTAACTTCCGCCTAAAAAAGCGTATTACCCCTGCCTATTAATTGTATTTTTGTATTTGAAGTAAATGAAAATTGCAAGAAAGGTGGTATCATTTGCCATTATCAATTTTTTTGCTTCATAGTTCTTTTCTGAAAACAATTTGAAGCCATTCGAGCTTACTTCCATTAACAAGGCTGCAGAGAAAATTAAATCTCGGATCGATCCTAGAAACGCAAGGTTTGTTTTGTATTTTGGAACCTTTATATCATTTTATGTCTCAGTCAGTTTTAGAGAAGGATTCAATAGCTCGTTCTTTTCAAGATAAACCGACATCTGTATTTACTAAGTGGAAATTTATTTTTTTGCATCTAAGAAAGCCGAGGCCTATCAGATTAAAAATTGCTAATTAAAATTGTTTTTCTTTCAAGATCGTTTTCTGACAAAGTTGAGGTGCATCTCGCTCATATTCAAAGTGGTCTGGCCCAGGCTGGCAACGTCTACGCTTTTCGGAACAATTTTGATAAATTGGCGGCCAATGTTTGAAATTCATCAATTCTCCTTTTTGGATATTGTTCAATTTGGCTTTGCAAGCAACGGCACCGTATGTAAACAACGACGTTGAAATAGCCAGCAATTCTTGAGGTAAATCCACCCGTCTACCTAAATTCACAATTACGTTGGCAAAGTTAAATCTGGTAGTAAATACGGGTTTCGGAACTTTTTTCGATAAACTTGCTATCGTTGCGCATGTAGAATTATTTATACTGATTTTGAAATTTTTTTGCACGTAGTCACCAGAAAAAGATCATTATGTGAAGTTGTCTTAAATACACACTGCCTGTATAAAGCTCCGACTTCTCTTGCGTTCTTGGCTGCTCTGCTCGTTTAATGCAGCTTATGCGTCGTTGTTATTAACGTCGGCATGAATTTTATTCTGCATATTCACGCAAACAGGTGTTAATTATACTAACCGATGCGGTTTCTCTTTGGCCAAATTAATGCTTTTTCTCAGTGCTAACAAATATAGTACCAATTTTCAAAGAAATTAATTGTATATACATATGTCTGTAGCTCCACGCCCATTCACTACAGGTTTTGATAGGTGGCTAGACTGCTGTTTTTCATATTCGCATCTAAGACTTTTGTTCCTTCATCAACGTTTGATAACATAAATACACTTGAAAGTAAACCAAAGTTAAAGTAAATTCAATCACAGAACGAGAAAAAACGCCCAACATGGGCTGGGTCGCGAGCCAGAAAGAATGGACATTTATTAAACAAACGCGTGTAATATCGTTTCAACCGGAATTTTGCAATTCTTTAAGTAAAAAGCTTTGTACAGCTAAGGGTCTGACTACTAAATGCGGCGGGATTTTCGTGATAATATATTGTCATTCTTATTAGCTCCGTGATATAATGTAACATTGAATGATATTGAATGATATTGAACGATATTATTGAGTTTGATTCTTCAATTTCCCCCTTAGAGAAGTGAACTGATTTCTTAAATGTGCCTTGTTAACGTCGTATTTGAGGAAGGGCCAATGGCAGTGTGCTAACCGTTATTCGGTAAGGTCCCTGTGTATGTTTTGTTCGCTCGCAATGTAAGTTACAATGTGTGCGTATCAGGGATATTTTCGACAGGGTTGTTATGACCAAAACTACTAGTTGCCGTGTGTATCATAGTTGCCGTGTGAAATTACACGTTTTTTATAAACTACACCCGAAATAAACAACAATGCCGAGTTTTCGCGAATGTTATTTGTTAACTTTGTTATTGAGAGGAAAGTTAACGGATGCAATGTGAATAACAATACATTAATGAGTATATATTCACTGAAAGCCGACTCACCTGGGTTGTTATTAGAAACGGGCGCTTGAAAAAAGAACTTTTTGTCCATTTTCTCATTGGATTTTCTCGTAAGTTTGCATTTACGCAAAAATGGGAAGTAGTCATAAAAAATGAATTATCTATTATCACCATATTTTCAGAATTACAAATATGTTAAAAATGAAAGATCAGACTTAAATAACCCCTGAATATTGCTGTTAAATTTAATCATATTATAGTCCCTTTAGTTGATCATGATCCAACTCACAAGAAGGTTACATTTTTTCTCTATATATCTATATATTTCAGTCTTACTCTCTTTCTTCTACCAGTATTTTTTCTATATACTGTATATATCCTAGTCAATCTGCTTTTTCTTGTTTTAAAAGTTATAGACAAGGAACTTTTATCATCAATGTAGCAAATAGGGTAACTGGAATTTGTGTCTTTTGATATGCGTCTTTGCTGAGTCTTTGACTCAAAATCCACCAGGAGCCCTAAAATTAGGGGGGCTCGGGTTCACGTAATCAATCATTTTTCCCGACTTGGTCAAAATTGAAATTCCCTATCTAACTCTTCCCGAAGTTCGACGAGTTTTTTCACCCCTGTGGTAGCTTATGATGTCAAGACAACCTTAAAATTCATGAGAAATGGAATCTCACACCGTTTTCGTGCAATCATCAACGGTGCTTCATGTGCTTGGAATGGTGCATCACATGCTTCAAAAAGATACTCCAGTCGTGGTCGTCTTGAAGGACACCGATGTTTTTGTTCTTTTGGTATACGCTTGTGCAAAACAACAACCAAATTGTCCATGTATATAAAAATTGATACTGGTTGGTACGTAAACATCCAAATGGCTGTACCTCATTTTGGCAAAAATCTTTGTCTAAAACTACGTCATGTCTCGTTCATTGAGATTCTGACAATGTGGGAGAAGCACTGGAGCAACGCGTTCGAAAGTTTGTACAGCTGATTTGCTGTAGTGGACTTAGAAAGGACAGCTATGTTGAAAGAAGGGCATGAAACATTTGACTTGATGATCCTGGCTCCCTGAGGCAACATGCTAATTTCCCGTGCTATTTTCCAGCTAATGGAATGGTTTCAATGCCTCAGCTAGAAAATGACTTGCAAATAGCTGATGGAAGTTGGGAAAGGGGAGGGAAGAGAGATATCTGCCGTGCGAATATGGTATGAAGGTGAGCTTTGACTGTACATGCGAAGTCAGATCAACTTTTTGTGCAACTCACTCACAGGTTTCAGCAAATTTTATGTTTTTTTTACGGGTGATCAGTTGCCACAACTTGGAAAAGACTGCAGAAAGAGAAAGAGAAAGGAAATCAATATATGAACTGAAGCCAAAGTGGAAGATGACGAACAGATTGACTGTTTTGGTGAAAAAGAGGGGATTCTGACAGTGTCAGAGATGGTAGAGAATGAGGCCAACGTCGAGAAATTTGTATTTTTCAAATGAAAATAGTAAACTTTTTTGTGACATGTCTGCATAGAATTTTCGGCTTCCGCCAAGAACACAAACAGGACATTCAATATGTTGAACCAGGGGCGCAAATGCAAATTTTTTTAGGGGGGTGTTCTTTGAAGGAACCGAGTTTTCGCCACGACAGACCGATTTTTGAGATATAGATATTGTCGGGGCCGCTCTCCAGGGCCGTCGCGAAGCAGGCCTTGTTGAGGAGGGGAGGGGGGTGGGGGGGTGGATAACAAATTTACCTGATTGAAATATGATTGCCTGAAATTATATAGTTGCTGTCACGAACCTCTGCAATATATTTTGTGAATCTAACTCTGTATTTAATTCGCCACATATATTTTTATATGATAATAACGGACTTTCCTAATAGTTTTGTCAAATCTCTATATCGGAACGGGTAAAGGATATAGTCACTACCTGAGGCGGCACCATGGTTGCCGCCGAAGGAGGAGGAAAATGCACTTTTCAAGCAAATTTAACTAAAGCAGTCCTCCTAACCCTATTGAAAATTCTTTCTTGCAAACAAATTGAACAGCAGTTAGAAACAACTGGTACAATTTCGCTATGGTCTTGAAAAAACCCATGTTGTCAGTTACTCTTAGGTAACAAACAACGCTGGTTGTCAATTTGGATCACTCTTTCCATTTTAGCATGCCTTTTGAATGTTCAAAAAAATCTGGATTTCATTGTGAATTGCAGTTCGAGAAACTTTGGGGGAAATGGAAATAAGGCACAATTTTACCTAAAGAGGGCCTGGATTTTTAGATTTAATGCCAACAAGAATATCATATTTAATTTAACCAACAGAGCAACTCCCTCTGCTTGAACCTTCATTTATTTTATGACAGGAAGGTCTCTGAAATACCTAAAGCGTTTCTTCCACCGTGCGGATTTTACCTGAAATTTCCAATTGAGATACTATTGAGGGAATGTGACTGCTGCCCTCGCATTCCCCTTGAGATTTGCGCATCCAACGCCGCGCATAGCACGGAAACAAGATAAAGCTTGTACATATGGCGGAAAAGTTATTGTTGTCGGTGGCAGCTAGAGTTTTTTTCCAAAGCAGCGCTGGTTGGGACCGGACTGGACCGATTCTGTCCCCTGTCATTTTTCGGTGATTAGCCCTTCCTAGAAAATGCCCCACTATATGCCTTACTTTACTGCAATACAGCAAGGTACCAGCAGAATTGGGACCAGCTTTGGGTGTGATAGATAGAAATACTAAGCAGATGGCTAGATCGGGACCGACTTTATTGCTATCAACCTTTAACTGGGACCGGGTAGTGAAATTATTGGGGGGGTGTGACACCCCCCCCCCCACACCCCCCCTCATTTGCGCCCCTGTGTTGAACAAATGGGGCTCAAATACAGAACCCTGGATGGTTTTTGTCCGAGTGATGTATGAACCAATGGCTTTTACCCGCTGCTTCCTGTCATACAGACTTTGCGACAGTCAAAGGCCTACGAATGGTCTATCCAGTACAGCCCCGGCAACGCCTCCGCTTTCCAATGGTTCTTGCAGGCTTCCTCTAAATCTAGAATATATTCCTCCCAAACCCCACAGAGAATTTTGTCCTGGAAGCTTTACACGAATTGAAGCATTTGACTTTTCATCAACCATTAATACCTCTTTGATATTGACGGTAAGGCAGCAATTGGTTGCTTCTTCTTTTTCAAAGCTTTCAGATTGGCTCTTGCTCAGCAAAATCTTCCCTAGTGACCTCTCTAAATTCAACTTTATGCCAAAACTTGAAAATCTTCTAGATTTGACCTATGCTTAGATGTGATTCAAATTTTTGAACCACACCAAGACATGTAAAATCAAAAAGCGTTTCAGGTTCTCACAAAATTTGAGATTAATGAGCACTAATGAAGCTTTTGGGTCGTTGGAAGAATTCGTTTAAAAATAATAAATACAACAACATTAAAAAAAATTCATTTGGAGTCCGTCTACCAGTGCTTTGACTGTGGTCTTTCAAATCTTCGCTCATATCCTTAAGTTGATGCTTATTCAAGGGAATTTAAGCATATTTAAGTGGCTCCGAGCCAGCAAGCTCGATTTGTCAATCAAACATCAACCAATCACAAGTGTCCATCTGCCATTTCACGTGGGTGTCATCCATAAAGTACGTACGCACTCAGGGGGAGGGGGGAGTCGATCAAAAATCGTACGCTTACATACAAGGGGGGGGGGTGTAATGGGTATTTAGTACGATGTTTGATGAACTTCCGATAATAACTTTGTGAAATGCTTTGCCTTTTAGAAAGCTAAATACAATAAGTTCAATGTTAAAGAATCTGCTTCGATGTGCTTCACATGATTACATAAATCAGACAACTGCATTTACATATATTATAACAAGGAATGGTCAATATGGACAATTCCCTGAATTCCCCTGAAAGCTCTCAATTATTTGCATTATACCTTGAAATGGGGGGGGGGCGGGGGTGGCAAAAGAAATATAAGCACTATTAAAATATAACCACTTGCCTATTAGAATGTTACCAGTGGAGTGCTAAGGTGAAAACGAACTCCTTTTACGCACGCAGTGTACGCAAAAGGGGGAGATATGCGAAAAGCGTACATGTGCGTACGAGGGGGAGGTTAGGGTCAAAAGTGCCTCTCAAACTACGTACGTACTTTATGGATGACCCCGTGGTCACTTCTGCTGAAGAAATCACCTTTTATTTCCCTTTTGCTCAAATCGACATCTACGAACTCGTGCAAACAAGTCACCAAACTTTACGTGCACAGCTGCAATGTGACTACACTGCGCAGGCTCTGTACTGTCTACATTTAGAAAGTGCTTGATAATATCCTTCTATCTGATCCTCACTGCAATGTTTTCAATCCAGTTTTCTTCTCCTTTGTTGGGACAAGACGGTCTGTCGGGGCCCTTTTGTCATTAGACCATGACATCAAACAATCAACTATTATAATAGATTGTTCGTAAAAGCCAATCAAGTTGCTCAAAGTAAGTTATGTTAATATATTACATTGTCTAGGATAGACCTAAGCGTACTTCCGTTCAAGGCAAGAAGACATTTGTATCACTGTCCGCCATTTGTGATTTGCGATTGCCAACGCAAAGAAGTCGACACAGCAACTAAGAAGTCGACACAGCAAGTCCTCTCAATACTAAAACCAAAGAGCTACATCACAATACTTCTACAAAAATGTCGTTGGTGAGAGTTTCAGCGCGGCTTCCCCTTCGATCTTGTTTGCGGACAGCAAATGCTGCATGCCAGCGACTTGTTAAAATGCAAGACACTTTTGAAGGTATTTCTTTATGCCTCATGGTTCCCCTCAAGTTCAAAATATTGAAATTGGTTATTACATCGTTCACTTAAGATGTCACTGTATTAGATTTTTCAAAGCCTGTTTTTAATATTCATGTGAGTTCAATTTGAAGTCAGACGCCGATCAGGAGTTATTCCTTTTAGGCCAAAACGCAACAAGCACATTCTACTTTACTTAAACAAAAACTTTCCCTCAGGATATCACATAAACTTTCCCTGTCCATGTCGTAAAATTTCATTTGAATTGACTTAATGAGGTGGCCAGAGAGAACCGTTTTGAAGTGACGCTTCATTAGCAGCATCAATTCTTCTAGCACGTATACCGATACTCGGTCCTGCTCAGTATCGATGTAGATGTAGATGTAGAAATTCAATTCCTCTACGGTAAGTTCGATGTTCTTTCTGTGCATATTCTCCATCACAGAGTCACCTTGAATAAATTTTTGGGACAACATTTAACATCCAATTTAGCTTAACTATGAACCTTACATGCAGGAAACCCTTATCATTTGATACGCGTAATTTCTGGATTTTGGTAGTCAAGAGGTTTCAAAATTTAAATGCCTGATTCTTACATTATTTGCTTTTTTATAATCTTCAGGTGTCGTAAATGCATTCTTCTGGGATGAGAAATGTGGTTTTGGTGAAACACAGGATGGTAACCATGTTCTTGTTTCAAATGAATTCAAGACTGGAGGGTATGATTCCAGAATTTTACAACACAGTAGATTTTTGTTATATGTGGTTATTTTAGTTTGGCTTCAGTGAGTCCCTTGCATAAACAATACAAGATATCCCTAACATTGTATTATATTATTTCAAAACCTCAATTTAAAGTTTGTTTGTACATTTTGAATTCTCTGGAACCTGGCGTTGGATTGGTCAGATTCATCCTACAATATGATCTCTTACAAATACACAAATACGTTAGACAAAATCTCCTCTTACAGACAAAACATTTATATATTTATATTGATGTTCCATCAGAAAGTGAAAACATTATCACAAGAAGTCAGGTTCAGACTAAGTTTCAAGGTACCCAGAACTCAGTTGGTTTTCCACCATTAATTTACAAATAATGTTATTAAAAAGGAAAGAACTAAATAAGTAAGAATAAACTTGCAAAAATTATTGATATTCTCATTTGAAACCAATAAAATAAATACTTTGATATGCTATAGTCAGTATTTAATTTGAACTTGTGACTGCAATTGCATGCTGTACTACGTGGGCTGATTTTAGCCATTCTTGCAGCTATAAAGCAGTTGTTTAGAGTGGAAGAAAAGATAAACTAGATAATATCTTTTACTTTTTGAAAGCTAATTGGTGAAGCAACAAGCATTCACTTATTTTGAGATGTTACTATAGAGTCTTAACACCATATTTTGATTATTTGGCTGGTGTCCAAAGAGCCATAGCAATGTGATTTTGTTCAATTTACAAGGTCTGAACTTTTGGCATTGCAATGCAAATGGAAAAAACGCTCCAAACACTCCAGTAACATCAAAGAAAAAGGAAGGGACAATGAGAAGAAGGAGATGCTAGGAACATTTGTTGATTTTTAAGGAAAGACAGAAGCCCCATGTCAATAATGCTGTTTTTATCTGAAAGGATTCTAAAATATAGCTTAGTAAAATTTCAGCACCCTAAGGTACCTAGGGGCATAAACCTTGCAATCAACCGTGAATTTCAGAAAGTTTTTAATGAGTTACTGTCAACCAACTGTTGGTGTGAATGCAGGCAGTACTATTAGATTCTGATTTCTAATGGCAAGAGGCTTTTTAATTTAAGGTATGGAGATGTTTGTTGCATTCTCTGTCTTGTACATTATTGCCACATCACTCAACTAATCAGCTGCCAGTATGAGGATAGTTGTTCATTTTTACTTAGAAATGAGATCCATTGAAGGGAAATGAGGTGGTGCCAGAAATATTCTGACAGGGGGGGCTAAAATGACTAAATTATGCAGTTTTTGTATGTTATTTGGTCAAATTTGCTCTGACAATAACCTGAAATTTCCTCCAATTAGGAAGGCTAGATGCTTCCAAAGGAGGGGCTGTAGCCCCCCCCCCTAGCCCTCCCTTGGCACCACCACTGCTTTAGGTAAGCAAATGCAAACAATTTCATCAAGTAGATGGGTTGCTTTCTCTTTTAACAAAAAGGCTTGGTTATTGTGCAAATTAGATAGATTTAATCATATCCATGCCACACCTATCTAGATTTGGGCTAGTAGCAACTGAAACTACTTGCCAGGTGTCTTTGGTCTGTTTTATCCGGGTTTAGGCATGAATTTTGTTTTAATTCTTGCAATCTGCAGCTTCATATTTACCATTAACTTGTAGGGAACTTTCAGTGAAGATGGATCATCAATTATGGCTGGAAATTATTGAGCCAACATCATATATAAACCATGAAGCACTGAGAGATGAACTGCAAATGACTGTTTTATCTTATGATGATGATGTCTTGGGGCAAGATGGAAGTAAGAAAACAATTTTATGCTTTTTCAATTTCTTTTAGCTTTTATTGAAACTTGATTTATTTCTTTTAAGAAGCAAATTTTTCTAGGCTTTGTGATTTTTTTTTTTATTGTACATAATTGTTATATTAAGGATTCAAACTTGCAAGAATTTTTTGGCTTGTCTTCGAGCAATTTTTTTTAAATGAGCTTTCAAACAAAAATGGGATGATAACTAAGATTGTTAGTGATGTTATGATGATATGAAGATTTATCAGACAAAAGGTATTAGACAGACAACCAAGTACATCCTGTGCTTGAAAGGTAGGCGAAACATCGCACAAGCAAAACATTTCTGGGGAAAAATTCTTGAAAATTGAACCGCCTTATATTTTGGAGATATGTTTGAAATGTTTCTAAAGCTGCAGTAAGCCAATGGCATTATTTCAACAAATAGTAAGTTTTTCACAGCCTATTTTCATATTTTAAATACTGTGAAAACAATTTTTAGGCTTTGTTACCCCAACATGGGAGATTTAAAAATTAAGATAAAACTTACAAGAAGCTCTCAACTATCTCAACTATCAAAAATCTAATTTTGCAATGTACAGATCTGTGTAAGAGTTTTTCTGAACATCTGAATAATATCCACCAAGGGTTGCTAACCCCAAAAAGTTGTGAAGGTAAAAGGTCTGTGTATGAACTACAAAGTGAAGGTTTGAATTATTGAAAGCTATTAAGAAACACATTAAAACTAAGTTTGGAAAATTGGCAAAAAAAATGCTTGAAAAATCATAGAAAACAAAAATTTTCACCTTGCCTATGAAAAATTTGCACATTGATCACAAAATAATTTATCTAATTGACTTATTCTTGTGTTCTGCATGCCTTGCACTAAGCAAAATGATGATGCTCCATGAAATGAGCTCCTAAAAAAGTCAAGGCACTCTACTTCACACTTTATGTATTTTAATGCTGTTTGAAAAAATTATTTTTTCACAGGCACGCTAGATCTAGCACCTTTTAAGGCAAGGCCTGGTTCTGCAGTTATAAATGCAAGTCAAGTCAATTTCTTGATTTATGACAGTTTTAGTACAGTGAACTTGTAGTTGCAGTTTATTAGGCATTTGCTAGTTAAGGTTACGGTAAACGTTTTTGACATGGTACATGCAGGCCTTGCCCGGAAAGGCGCTCGATCGATTATCTTCGAGCAAGCGTTAATTATCTGTTGAAGTATTATTTTCTTTTTTTCTTAATAATTTAAAATCACCATTGCAAATCAGAGATCACATTTCCGTCCAAATTATCGCATTGCTTTTCAGTTTGCATTTGCTTTCGCGGGTAGTAGATGTTCTAGTGTGTCTTATAGAATGGATAGCATAAAAAGGGAAACAAAGTTGATGTTCGACTTAAAGCCATGCGTTTTCCTATATTTCTATATTTGTATTAACATAGTGTTTGCTGCATGTTTTGTTATTTCATATTATGGTGCTTTTTGGTATCACCATTGAATTTCTTATTTAACACTCTTCCAAAGCTTTCGATATGAAGCTCTCGATCTTCCAAAGCTCTTGAAGGATGCTCTCAAGGATATTTTATTTAAAGGTTCGAAATGGAGCGCCTAGAGTTTCTAAGAGGCTCTTTTTATGGAGCACCTTCATTTTGCTTAGAGCAAGGCCTGTACATGGTATCTCTCCCTAAAAGCCAAACTATTATCTGAATCCGACTAAACTAAATATCATTCGATGCACATTCCATATCAAAATAATTAGCAAAATATTGTAAAATGATACTTTCCAGGTATGTTTATTGCTTAAATTATTGTACCACTTTCATTTGTACCCTTGCGTTTTAGGTAACAAAATCTGACTTATATGAGCAGAAAGTGCAGATCCTAAGCTACCAAAGTGTGTCTCAGATTTTTCAAATTCCTCCTCCACTCAAAACTATACCCTGTCAAAAATTGGTAAAAAAATTGTCTACCCTCCTGTACTTCTATTTGGCTATAAAAGACAGACTAGATTAAATACCAAATTTTGAGAGGCGGTTTCTTGTGTATAAAATGATCTTTTTGTACCTGTATGTAAAGGATTTGTGAGTCTAGAGAAAGGGGATTTTACTGATGGCACTTGAAAGATACACATGTAAACTACAGTGTAATCTAGGTCAAGTCATTTGAAGCTTCAAGATCAATAAGCCTGTTTAAATAAATACAGGCATATGTGGGATTCATGGACGTGCCATGTGATTGTAACTAGTATTTGCTAATGAGACATTTGACCATAACCACAAGGCAACAATAATTCCTCAACTAAAAACTTTGATAAAAGAATTATGGAAACCTTTGTTTACATGGGATTTCTTCAATTTTCAAAATTTCTGTTAGTTTTAAACTTTGTATCATTGTGTGCCTTGAAAGTTTTTCACTTTATATTATTTTTAAGGATATGTAAATCTAGATTTCCTAAAAAAAAAGACTGTGCATATCTGGAGATCTTATCATGATTGCCAAACCATTTTTCTTTTATCAAAGCGTCCAAATATCTTTAATATAAGTGCTGTTTGGATGAAAGAGTCTAGGTTTCTTGTTCAATTCTGAAAAAAGCATCAACGTTGAGCTTTTGTCTTATCTCTTATTGTAGCAAATAAGGAACACCGCAATGCACAGAAAACAATAAACACACATACTGTATATGAACTGTGGCTAATATTTTGCTCCGGGTTATGGGGCTTCATCAGAGCAAAAGTGATGAAGCCCTGTATACTGGCTTTTATAAAATCTCTTATTGCCTGGTATGTAGTGGAATTAATGTGAATAAAAGGTCAATAGCTCTATATAACTATAAATTTATTTTTTGCATATAAGATGAAGCCAGACTCAAAACAGTTCCAATATACAAAGGACATATTGAAGTGCACAATCCAATAGATGACTGCCCTCCTGGTGGCGAAACTGCTGGCTTTAATGGTGGATCAAGGACTGCAACAGCCTAGTTCAATGCCTTGTTATATTTTATAATATAGTTTGTAAATAAGTATAATGATGAAATTTTGAACCTTGAAAATGAACCTCGAATTTTCTAAAGGCCTGTTTACATGGTCATATTCAGGTAAAATTTCAACCACATTTTTTATGTGATCACAGAATGTGATCATGTAAACGACCTTACAAGTTGCTTGAAGTTGCACGAAGCAGCAAGCAACTTGCAAGGTCGTTTAGATGATCACACTCTGTGATCACATAAAAAAATGTGATGGGAATTTTACCTGAATATGATTGTGTAAACCAGCCTTAACAGACTGAGCATTTTATGATTTTGTTTAGTCCCCTAAAGAGTGCAGTGCCTTTGTATAATTTCTTTTGACTATCTCTACTTTGCTCTACTCTTTCAAGATGTTTTATGAATGCTCTGGTTTTTGTATTAATTTACCATTTGTATCACTTTTCAATGGCTGGTGAATGTAAATAGCCATCTAAGATGCAATGTTTGGTGGTTTCATTATCTTGGATTTAAAAACTGGGTTGGAGTATGTAAGCAAATTTTGAGAATGTGTCATTACTTAACAAAATTGGTTGTCATAGTATTTTAGAAAGGTAAATTTGTAAATATGTAGTTAAGTTTTTAATCAGTTCTGTCTGAAAATGGCTTAATTTTAATGATGTACTTCTTTTCAGTGCCTTATTTCAAAATATTAACTGGAGACAACAAAGTTTATAAGGACCTTTGGTTATTTTGTGTATCAGCATCATGGTAAAGGTAAGGTGGCCTAAAGCCATGATGCCAGCAACAAAGTTTGATAAATGTAACAAAAGTGAAAATTGTTTATTAAGATGAAAATTAATTTTGATACTTTTTTGTGTTTCTATTCCATATTTTGGAGCAAAGTTGTAGAATAGCATGCCCATAGATGTTAAACAGTTTCCCTCTCAAAAATCTTTCCATAAAAAATCAAAGCTTCTTCTTTAATGCTTTACTTGATTTCAGTTGATTTGATGCAGAGGTGTATTCCTCCATTTTAACGTCACCTTTTATTTTACCGAAGCTTAAATGGAAATTCAATTGAGAGATATTGCATATCCACTTTTGAAACAGAGGGTGCTCTCTCCTAAAATGGCCTAGCTACTGGGAGAGTTCCTCGCTGAGGAATTCCCCATCATACAATTCATTTATGTCAACTTCTTGTGACATTTTGTTGTATTTGCTTTGTATTTAATCGGTATTGGACTTAGTATTGCAGTTGTGTAATTGAGAAATTGTATGTAGGGGAACTTTAAAAATATAAAACTGAAACTAAACCGATTGCCAGTTTGAAAGCTTTACTAGAAACGCAATAGAGCCGAAAAATGCAAGTACCCACTGAAAATAGACATTAAAAAATAGGCACATTGTAAAGTTAAACAAGAATATGGGTTTTGTTGATGGAAATGTTTGGTGAAATGTCTGTTTTGCGACAATCAAAACCATTCAAGTTACAAGAGTTTGTGAAAACTGTCCATATTTCGAGGTAGAGTGCAAGAATTTTGATGCATAGCTTTCAGTCATGTCGCCCCTTATGGAACAATTTCAGTAAAAATTGTTTTAGAACTTCCAAATAAAAACATTATTTGTTGTATAATATACCGTACATGTTTGTGCAACGACAGTCTTATCGGCTTTTCTCTCTTTCTACACGAGCAACATTACTACAGGCCACTTTTTTTCGTGAAAAGTTTTGGCCATCGCCTCTTATGGAACGTCTCAAATTTAGGCATGCAGAAAAGCGCACAACGGAGAAAAACCGGGAATTATTTTCTGCCTTCTTTCCTTCTACCTTTATCATTCGTCAATATCAAATCAGACTTTTTTTGAGCCATTGAGAAACCATTTGACCAATGGAAGTGCTTCCGATAAAAAACCCCTGTGAATGAAAATTGTGCGAGCTACTATAAAATTGTGCCGCAGTTAAAATTTTTCCAAGTCGTTTCTACTTTTCCTAGTTGTTTCTTACTTGTTTCCTAGTTGTTTCTACTTGTTTCTTCTTGTTTCCTAGTTGTTTCTACTTGTTTCTTCTTGTTTCCTAGTTGTTTCTACTCATTTCCCGTTATAGTAACCACGTATTATTTAGGTTTCAACGAATATTCGTTTTTGAGAGACAGAGAAGCACGTTGTGGGTTTTGTTTCGGCCAAGAAATGGCCAAGAAAGTTGAGGTGCAGGGGAAAAAAGAAGAGTCGAAGGTCAAATGACAACTTTCTCATTTACATCCCGCTTGGTTTTAAAAGATTCTCCTGGCTTTTATGAACAAAATGAAACAACGATAATTAGCAAAAATACAAGTAATGTCGTCAGCAAATTAATTTCGCGCGTTTTTTGAAGATAAACAAACCCAAACTCCTTTATATTAATATTTATCATTGCACAGTCGGAATTCATGAAAAAGTCGAATCGTTCCATTAGGGAATCGTTCAATCGACGTTGCTAAAACGAGGAACAAGCGGAACAACCTAGTAACAAGCGGAACAACCCAGTAACAACCCAGGAACAAGCGGAACAACCCAGTAACAACCCAGGAACAAGCAGAACAACCCAGTAACAAGCGGAAATGTGAAGTTATTGTTTTGTAAATAGCACATGGGGGCGTTTATAAGCCAACTCTCTAAAGTTCGTGTGGGCTAGCACGTGCACTATCAAGAGGCCGTCAAACACTTCCGTTATGTAATTTTTTGGCAGTTCGCGGCCATTTTCCCTCCTTTTCACACAACCGTAAATAGTTTGATGGATCAGAAAACCTGTCATTGTGGTTTTTTACTCGAATCAAACACCGACATAGCAAGGCAAGGGCTGGTACACAAAAAGCCCAAATTGAGGGGTCGAAAATTGAGGTGGGGGATAATATTTAGAATATATTAATGGCAACCGAAGGGGCAAAAGGACCGGGGGGTGTGGGGGTGTCACACCTCCCCGATAGTATCTCAATGAGAAATTTCAGGTAAAATCTCAAAAAACTAACAACAAATGTTGCCAAGTTTGTACGAGAAATAATCAGACAAGGCAAAAAATTGGAAATTCTCCTGTGAACTGAATCGAAACTCCATTTCTAGGCATAGATTTTTACTCATTACTTTTGATTGTACACTATTAATTGTCGCATTTTTTATGTTCAAAATACAGTCACACAAAAATGAAAAAAATAGAATGATATCTATAAACCTACATTTTCAGTAGAGATTCTTCTGAGTTTCTTGTGAGTTAATAACAATCTTAAAAAGTACGTCTATTGGGATGAAGATAGATTTTCAAAAATTAATAAACGAGGAAGAGGGCCTCTTCAGTTTTCAACTTCAGAGTAAGCCTTTATTTGATTTGCATTTAAACATCTCTATACGGCAATCTGGCACTAGACCCCCTTCCCCCCTTAGAAATTTTTTCTATGCCTGATTAATGCCTTCACGGAGGCCCTTAGACATAGGGGGTAAATTTATTGAAAATAGCAAAAGTATGCAAAAAAGACGATTGCAAGAAATGACTGGAAGAAATGTTCTAAAACGCATTTTGAGCTACCATAAAAGCTCTATTAAGCCCCCCTCTCTACTAAGTCCCCCCTTATCAAGCAAAAACTTTAAATAAGCCTCCCCTCTCTATTAAGCCCCCCCCCCCTCTCTAGCCTTTGATGTCAAACAGAGAAAACATACGCATTTAATCATTGTATTTTTCAGGAAACTGAGTTGATATTAACGTTTGAAAAGTTGTTGTAGCAGTAACTATATTAACTTTTCTTGTTATATTAATGTTGTAATAAGCCGTTTTCACATTCATATTTGAAAACGAGACAGGAAATCGAAAACGAAGCTAACGCTGTAAGGATTTTCTAGTGGCCTGTGATCACAGTGGAGAAGCCGTACTCGTTGTTTGGTATCGTTGTAGCTTTACTTTATTTATTGAGAAATGGATCAGTTTAAGTCTTTGCTGCCGGAAGACAAGGCCGTACATTGTCTAGATGACCTTCGAGATCTCACTGTCAAGGAATTGAAAGCGATTTTGGCGGCATACAAGGAAAGAATGTCTGGGTCGAAGGCTGACCTTATCCTGCGGGCCTACGCAATTTTCTCTCGCTTGAAACAGCAAGTTGAGCCTGAAATTTCTTCACTGCAGCTACTTCAGACAACTGATGAAATAGCCTGTACATATGAAGATGTATTTAAGTTGAAGTGCAGCCATTTGCCTTGGACTTCAGATTTACGAGGGACTCCAGCGTTCAGTTTCATTCAGCTGTACGATTATCTTGTTCTTCGCACCACCAAATTTAAACATATAAAGTTAAAGAGTACGGGGTACAAAAAGCTCAAATCTTTCCAGTTCTTTTATGAAGGATATATTAAGAGAATTGATGTGGCAAAGGATTCAAATTTTACTTTCTTTGATGTGCGTATGAAGGCATCAATGAAGTCCACTTTATACAAAGTGCTGGTGGTTCTTGATGGTTCTGGCAATGTTTCCTGTGCTGCCTGTACATGCCCTGCTGGTGCTGGTATATCTGGCCTTGGCAATTGTAATCATGTTGGAGGAGTTCTTTTTGCTTTGGAAGATTTCAACAGGAAAGGCTACAGAAATTGTCCTGAACCTGTCTCTTGTACTTCCAAATTAGCAGCCTGGAATGTCCCATCTTCTTTTGCTTCAGTTTCTCCTGCATCTATTGATGAAGTTCTTATCAAGAAGATCAGATTTGGCAAAGATGATGTTCAGCTAAAAGCCATAAAGAATATTTGCCATGATCCTCGTCAAATTGCACATCGTGGAATAGATGAAGAAAGGGTTGAAAAGCTCAAACACTCTCTTGCTTCTTCCATTCCAAACAGTTGTTTCTTTGCTTTCCATTCTTTTCCTGATACATCTTCAGCAAGCAGTTCTTCTATTGTCACAGAAATGGTTGATTCATTGGATTCTCCTTTTCAAGATTCTTTTGTTAATTTATCTGTTTCTGACACTGACAACAATTCAATGGCATTCAGCGATGATTATGATATATCCTGTTCCAATTTTAAAGATATGATGGACTACCATACCAAAAATAACATGTATCTTCCATCAACAGCTATTCTTGACATTGAAAAAGAAACCCGTGGTCAGTCATCAAATTCTTCTTGGAAACAACACAGATTATATCGCATCACTGCATCAAATTTTTACTCTGCTGCTGTCACTACTGTTGAACCATCGTCTAAGTTAAATTCAATGTTCTACTCATCTTTCTCTTCTGTAAGCATACGGCATGGAAAGGCTTACGAGTCCCATGTTCGTTCTTTATATTTGGAGACTTTGCTACGCAATGGCTTCAATAAAGTTTTTGTTGACGAGCCTGGCCTTATTGTATCAAGTACTCATACTTTTCTTGGTGCATCCCTGGATGGTATCGTAAAGCATGGTCAAGACTCTTGGGGACTTGAAATCAAATGTCCTTATTCAAAATTTTCATCTTCTCTCCATGATGCTGTTGCAGATAAGAAGTTTTTTTTAAGAAAGACAGATGTGGTAGAGCTCAAAAAGAATCATGCCTATTACTACCAAATTCAAGGTCAAATGTTTTGCTCTGGATTAAGAAAAGTTGATCTGGTCGTCTGGTTTGGAGATAACCAACCCTTGTTCATTCAATCAATTATGTACGATGAACATTTTGTTCAAAACTCCATTCTTCCTCAGCTGAACTTCTTCTATCGCAGAGCTGTATTACCAGAATTCTTTACAAAGCGTGTAAAAAGAGGTCTTAAATTATACCTTCATGGTGGCTGGGAGAAGTTTTCTTTAGAATTATAAATTGTTTAAATTTTGTGAATCTTAAATAATAAATGACTTGGTATAGAGTGTTTAGTATCTACAGTAGAAATACCACTGTTATAATCATTAGTATTGTCATTTGGCAAATTCCACTATGTCTATAAATACAATCTTTTGAAATTCCAATACTATTAATAGATATCTACAATATAATGGATAAGCAAACACACAAACAAACTCAAAATTAAGGATAACCCCACAAATTGAATTATGTCACAAATTAAACATAACAGATTATGTTTCAAGAGGAAGTAAACCATAAGCTACCACATTATTATTTTGATGTACTTTTCCTTTATCTTCTTATCTATGTATTTCACAATATTAAATAAAATATGAAATAGTTATCGTGTAAGCAACAGTATTACCATTAAAGAATTATTTTTTACAGTCTTTCGTGTAATACAAATATGAAAGAGTTATCGTGTAAGCAACAGTGTTACCATTAAAGAATTATTTTTTACAATCTTTTGTGTAATGAAAATATGAAGGAGTTATCAAGTAAGCAACAGTGTTACCATTAAAGAATTATTTTTTACAGTCTTTCGTGTAATACAAATATGAAAGAGTTATTGTGTGAGCAACAGTTTTACAATTAAAGAACTTTTTTTTACACTATTAAATGTAAATTAAATATGAAAAGTTTTTGTGCAAGCAGCAGTGCTATATTTATTAATCATATTTTCACTTACAATGTAATACAGATTTTGAGAAATTAACATAAAAAGGAAGGTTTGTTTATAGGTTATGCTTTATTTAAGACTTTTGCTCCTTTCTATTTGTGTAGTAGGGCTGAATACGATGAATTAATTTATTTACTAAATGTGGCAGGCTTAACTAAAAATGGCAGGAAATTTGTTAACATACAACAAACTTTAAAAATTTGATTAGCTAAAGGAGTTAAGGATAAAGGAAGACAGCCATCAAGAATATGGTAATTCTTAATTCTTCCAATGGCTCTTTCAACATGAATACGGACTGCAGCTATGTTGGCAGTTTCTTCAGTTTCTTTTGGTGTTAATTGGGCACGATTCCCTTTAAACGGAGGAATGTTGAGAGTGACACCAACTGGTAAGATAGCAGCAATATCAAAACCGCGATCTGCCATTACGTTGTCACCAGGTTCAAGGAGAGAGATGAGACCAGATTTAATTGTTATTTCTTTATCAGATACACGGCCTGACCACAGTTTAGATACAAATGTGATTGCCCCAGTAGGAGATATTCCAACAAGGGCTTTCCAGGTGTTGTGATGTTTATACTCGGACCAAGTTTGTGACTGAGCTTTCATAGATGAAGGGACTTCTGTAAAAATTTCTGTACAATCAATGATTATTCGTGTGGATGGGTACAGTTTAAATTCTTCTGGCATTAACTTTTGGATTTGTTCTTGAGACGGGAAGGGAAAGAGAGAAGGCAATTCATGAAACAAGAAGTTGATCCAAGTAGTAAAAATCTTTGAAACATGTCCACTTGAGATACCAAATCTATCTGCAAGATCATTTACAAATAAACCAACTTTCAGACGCATTAAAACCAAGACATATTCTTCAAAGTAAGATAACTTGCGTTTGGGACCAGATTTCCCATGTTCATCTGGCCTGTCCCGCTTGTCTTTAGATACATCATGTGACTTGGACCCCCGCCAATAAGAAATATTATCCAACTTTGGTGCTAAATAATTAAAAACAGATTCCAGAGAAGAGAAATTTGGAAACCCAGTGTAAAATTTGACAGCTCCATCATCATATTTCAACTTATCAATGGAGAAAAGTGACTTTTTTGCAATGGAAAGTTCAGCATTCAATTCTGAAACTTTAAGGGACAGTTCATCAATTTTCTGTTGGAGAGTGACATATTCTCTCACGTCAGTTGAAGATAAAGGAGGTGCATAACAATGATCTGTCATAAGATTGGAAGAGGAAGCATCATTCAAGTAAACTGGCGTCTTGACAAAAGAAAGTTCGGTCTGAGTTGAACATGTTGAAAATAGAGATGACTCTTTTTCAACAGTATCAGGCAAGGCAACATCTTCTTCTTCATTAAAATCAGGAAAAGAGCAGGTATCAGAAGCAGTTGAAGAGGAAGGTTGAGAATAAACAGATGCAGTGCGATCCTTGGGTGCTTTTCGTGTTGTCCGTGTAGTGGTTGTCTTGGGATCAACGAACAGCTTCAGTGAAGGAACAGCATCGGCCACTAACTTCCAGCGAAGTGGATTACGCTTTATATCAGAAGCAGTAAAGTGTTCTTCGCATAAAACAGTGTTTCTAGTAACCATGAAACCATCAGAGCCATCGCGTCTCTTAATCAAATTGCACCAATGATTTTTCCTTGGATTCTTTTGAGGGAATGAAAAAAAATGTAGGCCCGTCCCCGTACCGTCCTTGTTATATTGAAAATTATAACATCCAAACGCTGCGCATTGTCTTCCTAACGATGATTTCTTCTTCGTTTGATCATTAGAATTTGCCTCATCGTTTTTATCAGCCATAATGATAACAATAAAACTCAGAAATGACAAACTAAGAACGACAATATGTCAAACCTCCACTGTTCACAGCTTCGGCAACTTTTCTTACAGCGTTAGCTTCGTTTTCGATTCCCTGTCTCGTTTTCAAATATGAATGTGAAAACGGTCTATTACGTTAGAGGCCATCTTGGCCTAGATACCTTTTTAATAAAAAAAAGCAAGTAGCCTGTTTACTTCATTGTTGTTAATTTCAAATATTTATTGTTAATTTCTCTTACAACTTATAATTTGGATTAAAGAAGAAGTCAACTTTCCGCCTCAGTGAAATTATTTCTGGGCAAACCATCAGTTTCTCGTAGGTACATCAAAGTCATTTTCTCCCCAGGCGATTGAATGGCGCAGTATCGTGAACTAATGATGGCAAGGTGACAAACACGCAACCAATGTTTGGCGTTTTCATCATCATCATAAAAAAATTAATTTATCTAAATACACTTAGTTGAAGAGCCATTCTTACATCAGCTATTTGCGTTAATCGAGTGCTTCTTCTTACAAACATAATAAGCAACAATTTGCAGCAGATAAAACAACAGTAGCAACATAAAAAATGCGACAATTAAAAGTGTACAATCAAAAGTAACGAGTAAAAAATCTATGCCTAGAAATGGAGTTTCGATTCAGTTCACAGGAGAATTTCCAATTTTTTGCTTTGTCTGATTATTTCTCGTACAAACTTGGCAACATTTGTTGTTAGTTTATTGAGATTTTACCCGAAATTTCTCATTGAGATACTATCGGGGAGGTGTGACACCCCCACACCCCCCGGTCCTTTTGCCCCTTCGGTTGCCATTAATATATTCTAAATATTATCCCCCACCTCAATTTTCGACCCCTCAATTTGGGCTTTTTGTGTACCAGCCCTTGCCTTGTTATGTCGGTGTTTGATTCGAGTAAAAAACCACAATGACAGGTTTTCTGATCAGGGGCGGATCCAGCGTCTGCGTTTGGGGAGGGCCATTTATGAAAGAAGAGGAGGCCTGCGAAAATTTCACAGACACGCCCTTCAAAGTCTCACCGAACGCGGGAAACGCCCCTTTCTATCAAAAAATTTCATAAGAAGGTACACTCTCAGAACACTGAAAATTAAGAAACTTCATTGCTGCGAGAAACTTCCAAGCGAAGTAAAGGCTAAAATACATGATGAAAAATTGATGAACTTTGGCTAATCGTGTAAACACGCGCTTCTTTAGTTAAACTGATGAAAAACGGATATAGAAATAACTTTGGGGAAAACTGACATAAAAAACTGATCGTGTATTTCAGCCTTTACAAATATTCATATTGAATATTTGGTCAGCAGCTTTCGCGCTTGACTTGGGAGGGGAACTATGACGCATCAGAGTTCGTGAATGACATTATAATTCCTGTGTTCAAGAAGCCGGCATAAGACACGTACCCTTAAGATGAAAAAAAGATTTAGAAAATGAGCAAAAGTCCCCACGTATTTGGTGCGTATAATTTGAATGGTAAATTTTCAAAATGGGTAGTCACCAAAAATTCATCGCAGCATAACAGGCAAAGCTGAGTAGTTATAGGTACTGTTTTGCTTTTGTTGGAAATAGTGACGCTTTTTGGGTATCACAATCGCAATAACACGATGAACAATGTTTGAACTGTAACCCATTTTAGCCATAACTTTCTCAACCATTAACGTTTGCAGACGTCATTCATTCATGATCGCAGTCATGATTTGTGTTAAACCATAGTCCATATGAGCCGCGAGATCCGGTCACATCTAATTTTGCATTGAACTATTGTTTTAGGCTTATCATAATTCTTGTGTTACACATCCACTTGCAACTTATTGCCTCACTGAAAGCGAGAGAATAAAGCCGACTGGAGGTTTGATTAAAATGTCTGGTCCGCCAAAGAAATCAAGAACTCTTGAATCATTCTTCTCAAAAAGTAGCCGCACCAGTTCAGTTGGAGATAACCCTGAAATCTCTAAAACATGTGAAACTACCACTTGCCAAGAATTTGAATCAAAATCTACTGGTGAAGAATTCGACACACAAAGCCAAGTTGCGGTAGTCCAGGATTGTCCTGAAGAGGAAACACACCCAGACCTCTGTTGTATGGCGACACAAGTAAATGTTGCAATATCTGATAGATATGACATTGGTAGAGCTATAATGAAAACAAAATGAGGAGAACAGCTGACAGATAACGAAAGGGAAGCATATTTATCGAAGAGGTGGGTGCCGCAGAGAAGGGATGAATATCCATTTTCTGAAAAGAAAAAACCAAAGAATCAGCTCATGGTTGGTATGTCCTCGACAACGAAGCGTTTTCTGGGTGAAAATCACTTGAAAACCTTCCCCTGGCTAGCTGTCAGCAGAGAGCCAAAATGTTGCGGTGCTTGGTGTGTTTATTGCGTTTTATTCAAGACGTGCGAGAGTGGAGGTGGAAGAGGTGCACAATACGGAGGTGGAGCAGGCCAGTCAATGGGCAAACTTGTTAACAAGCCTCTTGTAAACTTTTCAGACTTGACAGGGAAAAATGGAGCCCTCACAAGTCACCAAGAAACATCTTTTCATAAGACATGTGCCATAAAGTACACGGAGTTCTTGAGCCGTGCAACACCTGGGAGTGAGAAGGACGTTCGATCAATAATGAACATTGAAAGGCAGAAAGAGATTGAAAGAAACAGGACTGCGCTGGTCCCCATCATCGACACCCTTCTAACATGCGCCAGGCAAAATATTGCGCTTAGAGGCCATCGTGATGATGGACCAGTAGATTCAACTGGGATGGAACCCAAGCACAATGATGGAAACTTCAGGGCATTGCTGCGATTGAGAGTACGGGGAGGAGATACAAACTTGAAAGATCACTTGAAATCTTGCAAACGCAATGCTTCTTTGGTAAGCAAAACGATACAAAACGAGCTAATTGCCTGTGCAGGAAATATTGTCAAAGAGGACATAGTAAGAGATGTAAAAAATGCAAAATTCTGGACAATAATGGCCGACGAAACCCAAGATTGTGCGAAACGAGAACAGTTGGTCATTGCAATTCGTTACGTTGACACAAAAAATGTGCCAAAAATTATCAAAGAAGAACCGGTCGCAATTTTAGACCTGATTGCAGACATAAAAAGCAGTGACCAATCAGATGAAACAGAGCACAATGAAATTAAGCTATTTGGCAAGGCAATAGGGGAGACTCTACTCCGCCATATAAGTGAGCTTGGGTTGGATTTGCAGTACCTCGTTGGTCAAGGATATGATGGTGCTGCATCGATGTCCAGTGAGCGAGTTGGTGTTTGCTCCTTTATCAAATCTGCTGCGCCACTCGCTGACTACTTCCACTGCTGCATGCACGCGCTAAATCTAAGTTGTTCTCGAGCCGCAAAGATACCAGCAATCAGACATTGCATGGATGACATCAAAGATATCAACAATTTCTTCAAGCATGCGAAAAGAAACAGCTATTTGCAAGCAGTCATAGCACGAGAATCAATTGAAGAGTTTCAGCGACGGCAGTTGATGACCCTCTGTGAAACAAGATTTGTCGAAAGACATGAATCAGTTTTGGTTGCACGACAGCTTTTGCCTTACATCGTTGTGTGCTTGGAGGAAATGCTCGCTTGGGACTCATTAGATACAAGAAAAGATGCCAGGAGATTGTTAAAAAGTTTGCAAGACCCTCAGTTCCTTGTAGCGCTAGTATTGGCCGAGAAAGTGTCTGCTGTACTTCGCCCAGTGTCCCGTTCTTTGCAACAAATTGGTAGCGATCTTGTGAAAGCAATGTCGACGATTTCTGCGACACAGTCAAAGCTTTACACGTGGCGTAAAGGTGAAGAAAATGAGTTTGCTTCGATGTTTGAAGAGGCAATGCTTCTTGGCGAAAATATTGGAGTGACCAGAGAAGAGATGCACGCAATTCCTCGAGCAGTCAGTCAATCCAGGTTCAGATCAAATGCAGGTGAAGCCAATCAAAAAGCCATTGATTATTATCGTATCAATGTGTTTTTACCTCTTCTTGATGAAGTGGCTGGAGATATGAAAGCAAGATTTGGTCCCCATCAGCAGAAGATTGCGACGCTTATAAGAATTCTGCCTTGTTTCGTCAAAGAATCAACTTGGCAAGATATTTTGCCTGCAGCACTAAAATACGGAGTCTTTTTAGACCCCTTGTCCATTGTTGAAGGAGAGTATGAAATTTGGAAGCAGCAATGGCTGTCACGTGGAACAAGTACAGTAGCAAATACCGCTATCGGCGCTTTAGGCGACTGCCAAGGTGATGTATTTCCTAATTTGCATACATTACTCAACATTCTCACTGTGCTACCGGTGACAACAGCAGAACCCGAACGACTATTTTCTAAACTGAATAGTACCCTGACAGCAATTCGGTCAACAATGTCTGAGGAGAGATTAGAATCCCTACTTCTTCTGCAAGTTCACCGTGACAGAACACCAACGAGCGATAAACTCATTGACTCATTCGCAGCATTAAAATCAAGACGAATCCCATTAAAGCTGTAAGTAGTTAAAAGATGGACAAAATGACGTTGCTATTATATCGCAATACTCAACATTGAAACACACCACTTCTCGCGCAAAATGAGCTCGCATGTAGCTTTTCGTTTCAAAGGCAAAATCTCCGATAACGTTTTTGCTACGATATAGCTACTTCCTTTTCAAATTCTTTTCTGAATATATTGACATCAGTTGGGATCACTGATTTCCACAAAATTACTCAATCAAAGCTCTCATGTTTCTATGCTCGCAGTTAGTGTTCTCATGTAATGTAATAAGTAATTTTGGTTTGTTAGTTATATAAACAACTAGTTTCTTGTTATGCAAAAACTTTTACCTTATCAATTTACATGTTTAGTTAATGTATTTACTGTCTTTTCATTCAAAGTTTCTCGTTGTCGAATCGTTTGGGGGGGGCCATGGCCCCCCCGGCCCCCCCTGTAGATCCGCCAATGTTTCTGATCCATCAAACTATTTACGGTTGTGTGAAAAGGAGGGAAAATGGCCGCGAACTGCCAAAAAATTACATAACGGAAGTGTTTGACGGCCTCTTGATAGTGCACGTGCTAGCCCACACGAACTTTAGAGAGTTGGCTTATAAACGCCCCCATGTGTTATTTACAAAACAATAATTTCACATTTCCGCTTGTTACTGGGTTGTTCTGCTTGTTCCTGGGTTGTTACTGGGTTGTTCCGCTTGTTCCTGGGTTGTTCCTGGGTTGTTCCGCTTGTTACTAGGTTGTTCCGCTTGTTCCTCGTTTTAGCAACGTCGATCGTTCAATAATTCATCAGTTGCATGATCTGAACATTACATACCGTAAATCCTCGAATTAGCGCCCTGGGGCTTATTTATTTTTATATTTTTGGATGGGGGCTTATTCGGGGGGGCTTATACGAGGGGGGCTTATAGAATCATTGTAGACATTAAGAAGACATTTTTAAAAGAGCTCGTTTATTTTAGTAGTAATTATTTTCTTTATGAGCATTTAATTAATTACTACCAAAAGTATGGATTTGTTGTGGTAACTCAATAAAACACCTTTGGAAGCTATGTAGCAACATACAGACCCCTCCCTCCTAAGTCGAGACGATTCTGAACACCAAATAAGGCCCGTTGGTGCTGCCGCCATCTTGTTGGACACCAAACAGCAACCGCAACATTGCGTGACAGAAGATTTGTGGATGGCCTAGTCGAGGGGATTTCCTGTGAAGATGTTGGGAACGATTTTACAACTGTTGAAAGCGCAAACGTTCGAGAAGACAATTGTAGACAAATGCATTCAAGGTGGTTCTCCACATCATATGGTAGCAAAAAACAGAAGATTATAGTCGCGCGCTGTCTGGTTGTTGTCAAGTTCTTGGTATCATTGAAAATAAGATAATACAAAAGCAAGTTTCCGCGTCTTGAACTAAGTTATCGTTACAAGGTTTCAAGTCAACGTAAACTAAAGCACTGACAGCAAAGGAGTCGTTGAAATCAAGCTCTTACGAGTGAATATGCCATGGTCTCGAAAATGTCCTACTCCAAGGCTTAATCGCCTGATGTACATACTTCTGGCCTGTTCTCTATGTTGCTCACTTTTGTTCATTTTTCTCAGCTACAAGCTTGAACCGACGACTATTAATGATGGAGCGAATGCACAGAGACAAATCTCGTTTTCAGGCATTCAGGTGCCTTTTAGAATTAAAAATCGTGGATTCAAAAGTGAGAGAAGCTTGTCTAAAAAGCTTGCCGCGGAAATTAATTCTCTGAAAGAAGAATTATCATACTATCAGAAGGTTGTTTACGATTTGGGACAAAAGAAGTCAGAGAAATCTTCTCAAAAAAATAATTGTCATCAGGGCTTTGAAGTGCCAAAATGCCAGGTATCAATGTATTTACGTCCATGTATTTACGACAGAGATGTTTGTGTTGACTGCAAGTTGACTGCAGACAGTATTTCTAGTTAAATTTTCCTACCATGAATTTTTTTCAAATTTTAATGCCCTTTCGCTTTTTGGAAACCTTGTATTTGTTTAGGTATCACAATGCATTTTGTGTTATGATATCTGATGCTGACCATCATTGGAATCGGGACATGAATTGAATGAAGCATCAAATGAATAATTTTTTACATTTATTGAACAAAACTGTAATTTTAAGGTGTAGTTTGGCTTGTAGTAATTAAAATCTTTACTTTTCAGGTTCTTCATGTTGCTATTGTCTGCGCTGGTTTCAAGGATAGTAGGAGAGTTGTAACTCTTATAAAATCGATGCTTTTTTATCGGCACCAACCATTACATTTTCACTTTATTTCTGACTTCTCAGCACGGCTGGTTTTGGAGACTCTTTTTGAATCATGGAAACTTCAACAAGGTAACTTACCGAGATTTTATGTAAAAACATCTTTAAAAGTTATGGAGTGTTAAATCTTTATATGTGACAAAAAGTTTTGAAGGTTTATATTAAAGCAGTTTGTAAAAATAATTTGAGAAGCAGGTTCTAACGATGATTGTTGGGAATGATGTGTCAGTGACTATATATGTGATTTTTATCTTGACGTAGCTTGATGGGTTGATATATATATATATTATGATAAATGATCTTGGCCAGTCAAAAGTTCTAGGTTAAGAAAGTGAATGAAATATTTTTTTCTAGTGTTGGTGAGTTTCTATGATACAGAAAAATTAAGGGTAAGTGCTCAATGAGTTTCTCAAAAATAAAGCTTCAATGCTCTAAAAATTCTTGTTAAAGATAAGGCCAGGCCATTCTGTTCTATGATAGTGTTTGCACAGGGACGTTGTGGCCAATGAGTTCCAGAGGGGGCCAGAAAAAAAATTTCTGACAAAATTTATTTGATTTATTTTAATCAACTAGAAGCATTTCATATTAGGGTAGGGGGGGGGGCAGAAAAGCTCATAACCTTTTTCTTGGCCTGAAAGATATCTAAAATGCACTTTTCTTGTTCTTGTTTCATCATACCTACTGTAAACCTTCATGACACCTTGCACCCCGTTAGGTTGGTAGATTAGGACAGGAGTAGAAAAAGTTACTACTGGAAATTGCATTTTTTGGAGCAAACTTTAATAACACAATCTTATTCTTAAAAATAATATCCTTGGTATTGATCGACTACCTTGTTCTTGTCTTCAAATGTTTTACATGCAACATAACTGCTACCAAATATCAAATAAGGATATAATTTATGACCAATATTGACCAATTTCCATAACCAAATTTGGCGCTTGAGGATTAGGATTTTAACTGACAAAATCTAAGCAGCAAATCACTCTATGGTAGAAATTGTTAAATCTTGAGAAATTGTTTCGATTTTGTGGAAATCTAGAAATATGTTTAAAGAATTGAATAGAATTGAATTTTTTGAGTCTCAAATTGAAAAATTGCAAACTCCCTTGTGCATGGCAAGATAAATTACTTTTTGGGGTCAATTTTTCTGCTAGAAATGATTTTTTTGGGTTGCTGGCTTGTACTTCAGCTTGAGGATCCCTATCCTAAATATATCTGAGTACCTCCCAACATGAGCCTAGTGCTTGCATGATTTCTCTTGAGCAAGCGATTGCTCTAAAAATGATCATAATAATTAGCAATGCTGAAAGCCTCTGTATTGTTTACAAAAACCTTATGATCTATTTATAAGGTACCCAGGCCTTTTTGTTTGATGTGAGCAATTGCTTGCGATACCATCGCCACTTGCACAAACCCAAGCAGACAAGCGTTTGATCCCTCACCCCAAATGTTAAATTTTGAGGAATAAATGTTCCAATCATTAACACTTTTCCAGTCATCTTTTGTGACCTGATCAAGTGACATAGACGATATAAATCTAGCATATTAAAACACAGGAAACATGAGTAAGCTGAATTAACCACATCTCACTGGGAAATGTTTTTATTTCAAGCAACACATTGAGTGGATACCCAACAGGCACTACTCTGGCATTTATGGATTAATGAAGCTGACATTAACCGATACACTTCCAGAAACCTTAGATCAGGTATTTTTATTTTTAAAGTGCATTCTATTTATGTAAAAGGCAAAACTGGTATTGAATCTTTAAAATCAACATTTGCTCACAGATAAGTGTAAATTTCATGAATTATATGTTGACATGCCTAATAATATTTCTGTGAAAAATCAGGTTTACTATTTCATATGGTTAATTCTTTGATTTCAAATTATCAACTAACTTTTATTTTCGTAGGTTGTGGTTTTAGATACTGATGTTTTCTTTTTGGCTGACATTGCAGAATTGTGGAGCCAGTTTCACAATTTTTCAAAACATAAGGTACCACCTGGATTTTTCAACTTCAGGGTTCATATTGAAGTAGACATTGCATATTAGAATTTGTGCTTGTTTTCAATGTTCTTGTCTTCTGAAGTAACTACTGATTGCAACCCTCTGTTCCAAGTTGCCACACTTGTTGCTGTATGTGCTATTTACAGTTGTGTTATGTGTCATTAATGTTTGGATTCAAGTTGAACTATTAAGTGACCTCTGTGCTAAGTAGAAATATCTCCATTGAAATTTTCTTAGCATCAACACACAACATAGATTGTAATATCATCCCACAACATTGAAAGTGACATACTCAAAACCAGCTACCATTCTTGCTCAACTTTGACAATTTTATTATTATACTGTAGTTTATTTTTGCCTCAATTCCAAAATGCTATATATGTTTATTTCAAGACGTTTACTCAATATTTTCAATATGTTCTTTTTGCAGGCAGTGGGACTTGTTGAAAACCAGAGCAAATGGTATTCAGGAAATCTTTTCAGAAACCTAAAGCCTTGGCCAGCCCTGGTAAGTAGCCTTGGCAATATACGCCTGACTAATTGATCTGCCCTGCTCAGAGGTTTTCTTTCATATTAAGGTGGGCTTGATAGAAACATTTGGCAGTGAGATACAGAAATGCCATGCAAGATTGTATTGAAGAATGTCATTGAACCAGTAAAAACAGGGGATGTAGCCATGCTAATATACATATCTAATGGAGTGGAGTGGAAGGGGAATTGTACCCCTAATAGTGCATTACCAAAAATTCTCAAACTAATCTCTTAAGGCTTGTTAATTTGAGAGATTTTGGATAGGGGCTCCCTGCTAGTTACAAATAGCTCATTTTTTAAACTTTTTCATTTTATTGCCAGTTGTCTTTGAAGAAGGAAGCATTCTTTAAGTTTATATTAACAAGAAAACATTTTGGAAATTACTTGTTTACTTAAGTTTTTTCCCCTGAATATGTGCTTTATCATGGACTGAAATAATTCATATGTTTTGAGGATAACTGAAATGGGCTTAAGTGAGGGGTCTAAATTATTTATTTAGATATGGGGATGCCAATTTGTCAAACTATTACACTGGTAATGCTACACGGGAGAGAATACCCAGCTGTAATAGAATAGAAGATATGAGTTACCAATTGAAAATCCTTGCACTGAGTAGAAAGAAAAAGGCCGATCAAGCTCTTTAGTCTAGGTACTTGTAAAGTGTGATTTGGCCAACTCAGCTCCTCAGGAAGCAAGTTGAGGGCATTTAGCATTAATTGTCAATGTTACTGTAACATGGTTAATTGTTGAACGTGCCCATATGGATGAGCTAACAGAGGGCCATGGCGATCGCCTGTGAGCAACAAAAGCCTGCTTAACATATGCTATAGTTCTCTATGAGCCCTCCAAGAATCTACGAAAATATTCTGGGAATCAAAAACCTGTGAATGAAAGGTGGCAGGATAAAAATTGAAGTTTTTGCTACTTGTATGTGAGTCAAAGACAAAAAGAAGTTTAAAAAGGCAGTAACGCAAATAAACTTGAGTATGGTGTTCAGGAAGTGGAAAATGATGACAAATTAGTTGATTACGTCACAACTGTCAAACACAGAAAGGCTGATTATCAAAACTGCATTGACCTTTAATGTGTTTTTTAAAATTTAGAAAGTAAAAGGCTACTCGGGCAAGTGACAGGAAATATATAAAGTAATTTTTGGGCGTTTATTTCTTCTTACACGGTCTTAGTCTTTAACCTTCTAAGGAATATTATTATTTGTGTTGGAATGCAAAATCCAGTGTTTTTCCATGCTTGCAGGGCAAAGGCTTCAACACTGGTGTTATACTGTTGGATCTCAGGAAACTTCGTAAATTGAAATGGTCGCATCTTTGGCGAGTGACAGCAGAAAGGGAGCTGATGAATCTTCATCACACTCATCTTGCTGACCAGGTAATTTCGGAATTTTAACTCCAGAGAATCTTTGCATCAACGTTTTAATGTATAATTCCCTTTAAATGGGACAATAAGCTGAATACCCTATTTATGTAAAATTGGTTTGCTGTGTTTGTCATGTTGAAATAATTTGTGGCTAAAATCCAGTATAATTTCAGGATATTATCAATGCTGTTGTGAAAGACAACCCCTACCTGGTCTATAAAATTCCTTGTTTCTGGAATATTCAGTTAAGCGACAACACCCAAAGCGAGGTACAGTATTTGAAAATATTCTCTCTACTTCATTTATTTAAAATAATTCGTTTTGCTGCATATACTGTAATTGATCTATTAAACGCCCAGTTGTATTTTAAAATTTTGGGTTTTATCGGGGAGGGGCGTTTACACAAGAGGGGTGTTGATTGAAACAACTATTTTTACAAAATAAAATCATTTCTTTCAAAGAACAAAACCTATTCAAATAATGAAAAATCGTCCTCATCTTTATTTGAATCAATTTCAGTAGATAGATCTTGCCTCACATCGGAATCTGGTATTTCAAGTGGATCCTCTTTCTTGTTGTCATCACCAGGTGTGATGGTTCTCAATTTTTCATAACCTGTATGGCACGGCTTATTTTCCTTTTTAGAACATGATATTTCTTTACCAGTGGAACCATTAATCGACAAAGCGTTTAGAGAGAGAGAGCGTTTAATATCTTCTCTTATTTCAAAAGAGCTATGAAGAATGTGGAATCTTCATATTTTAAGGATAACTACTAATTATTGGAAATGGGTTGTGATAGTTTACTTACTTTCTTGCAGGAATGCTATGGAGACGTTTCAGCTCTAAAGGTAAACGACAAACTTATTTTTTCTGTCATTAAATGTTAACCTCTGCTTGCTATCTTTCAAGATGCGCGCTTTTTCTTAGTCAGCTAGAAACATGCACATCTGCAGGCCTACATGCACATTTTATTTGTTTCAGCAAGTTGAGATGGTATCGTACGGAATCTTTAGAGGGTTTTTTGGTTTATGACAGCCCTTAATGTTGCCTGCCTTAAAGTGGGTATCTTTTTATCCATTTACATCCATTTCTCATTAAGCATTTATCACTAAAAGTTTATTCCGCTTGCTTTTGTCAAATGGCACGATTGTCAAAAATGAGTTGCTCATACCAAAGCGCAAGATGAATAGTTACAAATTTATTCTACATACTTTAGTGAAGTCAAGTATGCCCGATATTCCCAATTTTTTAGAAATCATACTCATAATACTCAATGCTCATAATTAATAACATTATTTTTTCGCTGTAGCTGGTTCATTGGAATTCCCCCAAAAAATCATCGGTACAGCAGAAGCATGTAGAATTTTTCAGAAATATGTACTTGACATTTCTGCAATATGATGGAAACTTGTTACGGTATGTTAAAGCTTTGAAATAAAATATTTGCACAGATAATTATTGCAGATAAATATGTACCTAGTATATTTTTCAGTCTGTCAGTCTGCTTTCAATACTCTTTGCTATAGTCTACAGTTAAATGATTTCGATGATTTTACAAACTTCATGACTGTTTGTAGGAGAGAGTTGTTCTACTGCGATATTGGTGACCAAAAGCAAGATGAAAAAGAAACGGTATGCTCATTTTTAGTTTGCTAAGTAAATGTCTATTCGAGATTATTTATTTGCAATTCGACGAAAGCCTTTGAATTGAGAGTTGATATGCGTAATCTATATTCTCTCAGCAATGATTGTAAAAAGAAATGGTGTCTTGGTTTGTGGAAAATCTTTCTGTTCATTAAATGAAATTTGAAAAAATTACTGTGGTAAAGTTAAGTACTTTTTCTAGAAAAACATTGCTGATGACGATCCCTGCCATGACTATTACCTGGAACAACAACTTGTTCGTCGTGTTCATCTTTATTTCTTGGATTTCAACTTTCAACCGGTAATATTATTTTACTTCGCTTTTTCAAATGAGTTTTTTCACAGCTCTCAAATGAACACTAGCAGTTCCCATATTAAGTATGATTTATTTGCTTGAAGTCGATAGCAGATATAAGTGGTACTTCACTTTTGATAAGATCACCAACGCTGCAAAAAACAAGCAGCTGTGCCATCATTTTTAAGAATTAGACTGAAAACGGTCTGGTGCAACATCTTGACATTTTGACCTCTTGGGTAAGATGATATTTTATCAAACGCATTGTTTTTAAATCTTTAGGTCAAAAATGACGTAACTCTCGTTGCACACTCATCGATGGATCGTCTCCAGCTTGTGGAAGCACTGCTAAAGTTTTGGGAAGGTAGCAAAAACTTTTAAATAATGTATTTTTTATCAAAAACTTATTTTTAGTGTCAGCTTTAATAAGCACAGTGTTAATTCTCATTCGTTATATTCTAGGGCCAGTTAGTCTATCTTTGTATGCGTCCGATGCAGAGGCGCAACAATTTTTGAGATTTGCTTTGAAGTCACATGTTTTTGAGAAACGGTCAAATGTTGGTGTTCATCTGGTCTACAAAGACGGGGTTCGTATTTTTTAAATGCTGTCTGTAATATGCATGCCGTTTTGTGTAAATACTTCCTATTGCACCTTTGATTGTTCCTTTAGTTGGTGATCTTTCTAATTCTTCCGCTTTTCTTATGTAATGTGTTGCGTTTCGACTTTTCATGTAATCTGGTACAGGATTTTAATGCAAGTGCATATTAAAGATGGTTTTATTTTTAAATCTAAATTTGATCAGTCAACACTCCTTCAATTTTAGGACTTCTATCCTGTCAATTACTTGAGAAATGTTGCAGTGCAAGAGGCAAAAACAAGCTTCATATTTTTGCTTGATATTGACTTTTTGCCAATGCCTGGACTCTATGAGAAACTCAAGTGAGTAAACACCGACTTTTTATTCATGAGACAAGCATCATGAAAGAGTTCTCATATCCATTTTCTAAAACGGTGATAAATGATTCGTAATAGTAACATATTCCCTTAAGACATTCCCTTTTGTCTTATTTTGTCAGTTGAAATTGTCTCAAAGAACCCTTTGACCGCGACTCTTGAAATGACAGATGTGATCAATAAAAGCATAGCTACCTACGTCATACAGTCGTGGAACTGCCTTCAGTTAGATATTAGGTAGCGTAGTTATGTCACTTATACGGTTAGAAATCTGTTTGTTAGAAAATATCGTATTAGAGGTGCATATATTTCCATCAAAGACCTAGGTTTCAAGATAAATAGGTGAACATTTTTTAAAAATGTGAAAAATGAGCTCATGAGAAGCGTCACATGACTCAAAACTAATAATGGCAGGAATCCCATAAGATAAATCTGGGAAGCTTGTAAAGCTATATGCAAGGAACGCAGCCAGTCTTTTGGTGGCACGGAGTAGCCCCTGTCCCCGAGATTCATCCTTGTTTGGTTTGCAAATTTACTGGGGCTAAGTAGTTTGTCCTTGCAAAACTACTAGTTTCTTTTCAAATATTGTAGACAGTTTCTATGGTGACTGCTTTAAACATTTACGTTTATTTCGGCCCGTTGCTAATTGCGAATAATATAATACTTTAGTGGTTTTCCGTTTTGTTAAATGCATTGGGTTTTCCATATATCTTTCTACCACTTTTGGTCTTCATAATTTTGAAATTGCTTTCAAATTTTGATTTTTTTAAAACAGAGGAATTTTCCTTTTTCAGTCTGTGTAAACTGGGACTATTTATGTTTTTTTTTTCAGGAGGATGGCATCATCTTCTGACATGAGTAGGAAGGTAATTCTTGTCGAGCTCCTTCATTTTAGTTATAAAAACAACGATCGTTTTATTTCTAAAGGCTTTAATTCTTTCTAGAAAGCTGTCTCTAAGTTTCTTTTTTATGTTAACCGTATTAACTTACCATAAATCTCGAATTTCACGTGGCTCTGTGTATATCAGAGTATCATGCTGCGGAAAACATGTTACAATGTTATTTTCAGTTACTCTAGATCTTTAGAATATATGATCTTTAACATGTACTATTTTTTAGCTAATTTAAGATAGTGAGTTTTGTGTCTCTGTTTTACATTTGCTGTAACCTTTTTTATCATCATTACTGGTTTTAGGCCATCGTGGTACCGGCGTTTGAAACATTTCAATACAAGCTCGATTTTCCAAGTTCAAAAGAAAAGTTGCTGGAATTGCTTGACTCTGGAATACTAACGACCTTTAGGTAGGTAAATTGAAGTTACATATTTAACCATCTTCTTTAGTGTTCTATGGTAACGTAGATTAACAACATTGTAAATGGCTGCTTTGGTTTTTGGATTTTTGGATCCCAAATATTTAAACTGGTTGAAAATACCATTACTTTTCTGATGAAAATATCAACTTGTCTGTAATGAAATTCACTAGGTCTTGCAAGTTTTTTTGTTAAAAATTAGCTCCATAATACTTGTATCTCGTTTTTGTTTGAAATAACTGTAATTAAAATGACAGAGAAACATCTATCTTTTATTTTGCACTAGGTAATTAGAAACATTTTTATTAATTTTTTTAAGACATTCTGTTTGGCCTCAAGGCCATGCTGCAACTGATTTCAAACGTTGGAGATCTGAAAATAATAACTACAAGGTTAGTTTGCCTTTTCTGGAAACCCAGTCAGTATTAATATGATATTTTGTTTGTTGTGCCATGGAATATTACTTACTTTTAGCTATCAGCTACTTGTCAATTGCTGAAATGCTCTGTTTACTTGTTTGCTAATGCTTTCGTACTGATTCAGAAAATGAGTTCGTACTGTCAGAAAATAAGAAAATGAGTTCGTACTGTCTTACCTCATTTAAATATTTCATTGATGTTGATTACACAGAAAATCCTATTTAATGCGAGTAACAGAGCATACTTCATCTCTATTGCAATGTGCTTCATCTTTAGATCAAATGGCAAAGGGATTTTGAACCTTATGTAATGATAAAGAAGAATGCCGCTCCACTTTACGACACGCGGTTTGTTGGCTTTGGGTGGAATAAAGTTTCTCATATAATGAATCTATACGCCTTGAAGTAAGTAACTTGATATAAATGCTTATCAGCAACTTGGCACCATTTTATGTAAATTGATCAACAAATGACGTTCCCCGCACAAGCACTTGCATTTTGAATATTCACAGATTATTCTTTTCATTCAGTACTGATTTGTAACATAATGAACTGGTTTGAAACGGATGAACTGATTTGCAACACGATGAACTGATTTGTAGCAAAGGGATCTGATTTTTAGCATGATGAACTCGTTGTCAGCATGATGCACAGGTTTTAACATGACAAACTGATTTGCAACACGATGAACTGATTTGCAACACGATGAACTGATTTGCAACACGATGAACTGATTTGTAGCCAAGGGGGCTGATTTTAAGCAAGATGAACAGATTCTTAGCATGATGAACTAAGTGTTGTTTTTCTTGCACTGTTTTCTAGGTACGAATTCGTTGTTGCTGCTGATGTTTTTATTATTCACATGCCACATGCCCCATCCTTTGACCTTACAAGCTATCGTCTCAACAGCAACTATCGAAAGTATGTAGCATCTGCCTTTGTTAGGCCATAAAAACCAACTCTCTGCTTCATCGATGAAGGGAATTTTCATTGTTTTTTTCCACGAAAGAGTATTCCAAAAGGTGTATAAGAAATCCACACTTTTTTCTTTTGATTATCTTTTAGTAGGTTCAGCATAAATTCTTAGCTTTTTTCCATCATCACTATTAATTGTTTTAAAGGTTCTACTTATCAATTTCGAACGCGAGCTTCAATACAAAATATTCTTTTGGCTATTAGTTCCTTAACGCCTCATGAATGTTTCTATTTTTGCAGGTGCCTTGCGAAGCTAAAGCTAGAATTCACAAGGGAGCTTGAGGTCAAATATTTAGTGAAGTTTTAAATGTAGTTGATAATGAAAGAGAAATAAGAAATATTAGCCATGTGACCTAGAGGATAAAGAAATATTTTTTGGCAGATTATGTGTACATATTTGATTATGGCAGGACCTTTGTATATTTAATTTGTGTTTCAAGGAGTGCCGGTGCTATTTTGTTTAGTTGATATGAAAATTGAAGAAATTATTACTTTACAAAAAAACTGTTTTTAACCTGTAAATGGGATCTGGAAGTCATGTTAAGTGTGCAAAATCGCCTTAAAAGGCTGCAAAATCAATGTTTACATATTACGCTATAGCCTGTAGATCGCCATTTTACGCTGTAGATCTGTTTCCGTTTGTAATCATCTGTTATCGATGATAAGGTAGCGTATGTGCGTTTTGGTTTCATCTGTTTTCACTTTACTCCGTTTTCAAAGGGGTTTTTTAAATGCATCCAGTGGAGAGTATTTCATAGCGGAGCTCCGTGGACGCAAACCAACACAGGTGCATTTCCATTCCCTATAAAAACGTAGAAGTGTGAATGGGGTCCAAGTTAGTGGTCATTCCAGCTTTAAGGATGCTCTGATAAATGCTTTACTCGGAAAACACAGTCTTAGGAAACCTGTCTCAAGAAACCTGTCGCCTTCACAGTTTCATTGTGCAGTATCCAAAGAATGTCCCCACTAATTAAGATTTCACATGCAAAGTCAGCTACAAGTTGTATTCTTCCTGAAATTCCAATTCGTAGCTGATTAAGCCTGAGACATAAACTTCCTGTAGCCAGCTTTCCTTTTGCCTTTGTTGTTATGGCGTTCCTGCGCCTGAAGCTGGAGAATTGGTTTGTTTAATAATGCTAATTATAACAATAATAATAATAATAATGCAGTTTGTGTTGTTGAGTATATCAGTTGGATATAACTTGTTGCTTATGTTAAGCTAGTTAATCGTGAACTGTGTCATAGATCAATGCAGACATCAATTTGTTTTACTGTACATAACTCTCAACCTTTGCATAGCCTGACGCACTGAATGTGCAGGTAGTGTTAAAAAGTGATAGCCTCATTTTTTTGGGCTTTCCAGCGACCTTAGAGCTCTTGGGTTTGACATGCATGATTTGCTTCTGTTATAAAGCCTGATATCAAAATATTATATCTTGGATGTAAATTTTCAGAGCTTTGTTGCGACAAGCTATAAGTTATAATTTAAATTTATAAGAAGTGGAAAGGACAGCAAGTAAAAACTATGTTTTCTAACATAAAAAATGATTAGTAATACCTATTTTTATTTACAAAATGAACTTAAGTGCAAAGAGAAATTGTACCTTTCCATTCTATTTGCTATTTTCTTCTGAATGCTCTGGTGTTATTCCTAACCTAAACAAGTTCAGTTCTTCTTTATTCATATTTGGAACATCTGAAGTCTCATTGCTGGTTTTTTTTAAATGGAAAACACTTTCTTTTGTTGGTTTATTTTCAGATTGTGTTTCATCAAGTTCTTCTTTCATTAACAGATCTACTTCTTTAGACCATCCTAGAAGCTCTATTAACTTCCTCACAGCGTCTACAATGTCGCCTTTAACAATTACATCATTAGGCCTCCTTTTTCGTCGCACAAATGGACCAACAGCATCTCGGTTAACCAGCAGCCTTGGGGTATATGAACGAACCTCCTGGACCAATCCTGCAAATGGTTCGACTTCAAGTGACGTTCCAAGTACTATCAACAAATCACATTTGGCAAAATGCTTTGGATATTCAAAAAACGTTTTCGGAAGGTCTTCTCCAAAAAAGACAATGTCTGGTTTGACCACTCCCTGAAATAAATAATATTTGGTAAGTAAGAAAAACAAGTAACTATTTAAAGGCACTGAATCACGACAAAAGGAGAGGACCAAAACTATACCCAAATGTGCTGAGCTGGACCATAACTATGTGAGCGGGGTTATGATATTGCCCTTGGAAAAAATTTCATTGTAAAAACAAGGAGTTTTTCAACATTTGGGGATGCTCCCATTTGGGGATGCTGGCAAATTTTAAGAATTTTTAGCAAATGATGCTGAGTCATTATATTCATGCTCCATTGCTATTGGTGGACCTGATTCTGATCACATGAAGTTGTCTCCTATTGCTTTTGATAACAGGTCTCATCAACAGTCAATTTTAAACAAAAAGCATCAAAATCACACGAAAATAAACTGACCACGCTAAAAGCAAAGGACCCCTGCAGAGTATGACTATTCACCATGACTCAATGTCTTTAAACCTGTGACATGACAACGCTAACAAAATAAGCAGGAGAATGGGAACAGAAACACTGCATTTACCTACACATCAGATTAGGTTCAGGGATGGGATAATTTGGAATATTTTGAATAATCTTACAAATTTTTATCAATTTAAAACATTTTGACATCTTGAATATCACAAAAGGCCATGATTCTGGAAACATAATGAAAACAGGAATGTAAAACTCACTGAGCAACCATGTCTTCTACATTTGGGCACATTTGTTTTCATTACATCATCCTGTAAAATGTATTGAATTTCAATTCCCAAGTTAACAAATTCAAACAAAATCTAATCCAGGACTTTTTAATTTCAACTGTAAAACAACCTAATGACTTACTTTTGCCAACAATTAAAGGCAAAAAAGTTTTTACCGAGCTTCCTGCATTTTCAAAGGTTTATTTCACACTCCCCTCCTTCCTGTTGTGAAATAAATACCCAAAATAGATCAAGTGGGTAGGGTTTTCAACCCCATGGCAAATTAATTCTCCTTTGTACCTACCAATATCTCATCTCCTTTGTACCTAGTCTTGCACCTCCTGCATGTTGCTGTTGAAAATGTCCCATGTGCCTCAATCAACTTTGCTTCTGGAATTCCAGCAGCTGAAAGAAGAGGTTTGCAATGACTTTTTGCATTTCTCAGTATCAAGTGTAATTGTGAACAAATATGACTGTACAAAGCAAACTGGTTGTCTTATCACAATTATTATTAATCAACAGCCTCAAGCCAATATTACCTATGAATACTTTAACATAAAAATTGAGCATTTACACTCTAAGATAAACTGTGAATGGCAACTGTCATTAATTTATCAAAAGGTAGATAAGTTTGTATTTTTCCTCTGATATAAATTCTAGAATGTTTTGTTTTGTGTTATATCTTCAATTTCCTGTTTACAATTTCAAGTAATCTCATATACAAGTACCTCTTTCAAGACCATCAATGTTCTGAGTGTACATTTTCATCAATGAATTCTTTTCATGTAGCATCCTCACGAAATAGTGGACCAAGTTTGGCTTATATTTGCCAGGGTAAAGCTCCTTTGCAAGTTGGAAAAATGGTTTTGGATTGTAACTAAAGAAATTTATATCAAAAACTGCAGCAGGATCTGGCAAACCATATTCATCCAAATTATTGTAGAGTCCAGTTCCAGGTGATCTGCAACATAGAACATTTTACAATATGACATGATAGTTTGACAAAGCAACTGCATCATTTCCAAAATTATGAACTTGGCCAATTCTTGACTCTAGGCTAATGACATAGACATAGAGATCATTTAAGAAGTTGGGAGGGAGCGCATGTGGGCAAAAAGGGGTACCTCTATGAACTGAAAATGGGTACCTTACCTCTTTTTTCTTAAAAGTGGGGCACATGCCCCTGTGCCCCTTTGTTTCTACATCTATGCTTAGCGATGAGACAGCAAAACTAAACCAGCTCTATGAAAATTATGATCAATCTTTGATAATTTGTTGGGTAGAGATAAGGATTATTTTTGGAATATGGGTATTTATAGACTATACAGATTATTTGCTTCTGATAAAAATGTATCATGAAAAGGTCTGAAAAGACAAATAAGAATTATGTAAATTAAAGCTTTAAACTGAAAATATTGTTGCACTATACAAAAGAACAGGATTTGGAGAAAGGAAGGAAAGCTAAATGAAAGCTAAAAAGCCCACAATGTATTACCTGAAATCGGGGATACCACTTGGTGTTGAAATTCCAGCCCCTGCCATGACAATGACATTTCCAATTTTCCCATTTTTAATCAGCTCTGCAATTTCTTTAAGACTTGAAATATGAAAGGTGCTAAAAAAGCGTTTCCCAGCTTTGTGACTGCCATCAATCCTTTGGCTGGATGAACTGTAGCAACAATTAAAAGTTAGTAGTTTTATAGGTATACTTAAGTTTCCATTATCTATCTTCCATATTCCTTTATAGTTTCAGAATTCATCTTCAAAGAGAAAGAGCTCTATAAATTTTACATGCAGAAGAAAAGGATATAGTAAGTATATATCTGCTTTTGAAATACTGGTACAGACATCTCCAAAAGAAATTTCAATACAGAAAATGAAATGGTGGTTTAACCAAAAAAATGGTATGTAATTGAGTGACATAGCAAACCTTATGCTTAGTGCACCAAGCCTTGCAACCAGTGTTTCAGAGCTTGACTTTGAAACTTTGTACTTTTTCTTTTTGCATTTTTGAGATCTTTGCTTATCAATATTGGTGAAAGTGTTAGTAATAGATGTATCCCTTGTGACTAAGAGGGATTTGCACTCTACAGGGACAGCATTATTTGATATTTTTGGCAATTGAGGCCAATGTGTTAGATCCTTGGCTTTTCTTCTAGTTTTCCCTTTTGATGCAGCTTTTGCTCTGGATTCAGTTGCCATACTAGCCAATATTGATACTAAAATTGTAATAATTTTGAATAACAAGGAGATAAAAGACATTTCTTCATACAACATTACCTTGCTTAAAGGCGTATCTCATTTAAAGGTGCATGCACTCATATCTTAACAGCCTTTTCTTACTTTCAGGAAAAGTCTATGAATTGTGAACCTCCATACAAGGTATGGTTCTACTTTTCTATATTTCTCCTATACCCTTTTGGTAGGTGCAAAGGAAGCCTTGCCAGGTTTCTTAACATAAGTTTACAGGCATCCAACCATAGGCCAAAAAGAGGGATAACCTATAACCTGACATTGATGTTTATACACTTCACATTGCTTGATGAATACAGCAATACAGGCATTGCACAAAGGCAATCAATCTTTAATCTATAATATACCACAAGAAAATCATCTTCACAGTTTCAATATATGATATATCTATGACAACAGCAAGATGGTTATCAAATTTAACCTATCTCTAAACATTTAAGAGTCAGGTTGTTTTGTTTACGCCTGAGCCTACAGTTTATCCAAAAATATGAACATGGTTCTTATAATTGTGTAAGCAAAGCTCAGCAATTGATTAAGTATGTTTATTATGTATGTATATGTATATATTTATGTATATGTTTATGTTTATGTATATGTAGATTATCAATAAAAAAACAACTTGTTTGACGTTTCGCTGTAAGCTTCTTCAGAATAACTAACACATACATTTGGAGCGTAAAATAAGGAATATGAAACAAAAGAACAACACATTTTACAAGCAAGAACAATAATAGCTAGTTTAACAACATAATGAGATTTTCTAAGCCCAGCCGGAGGTGAGACAAGATGGATAAATACAATAGATAAAAGAACTAGCGTTTTAGCATGACTCTGCCCCTCCAAAATTTTTCCTAAAAATCAATAATTAGTGTTTTTCTGAGAATGGTTGAATTGTCTGTTCTGAGCGGTATATTAATTTGTTAATTTTTAGTCTGGGAGATGCATTTTTAGCCATTCTAGTAGGCTGAATTTCAAAAAAAAATTTTCGCGTCGGACCAACCACAGTGGGTTTTCCTGGAACCCTCCTGTCACTGAACTTGATTCTCGGCTTTATTACAACCGCGAAATCAGACGAGTAGGCTTGCATTATAAGATATATCTTCAGGCCCGTCGGCACCGGGGGGGCTGGGGGGGCTGGAGCCCCCCAATAATTGTCAAACTGTAGTATGTTTCCTTTATAACAGTGTACTGAATGAGAAGGGAAACAATGGGCAGCCCCCCCAATAAGAATTTCGTTCCGGCGGCACTGTTATCTTATATTATATCTTAGATACAAAGTTTAATTCTAGGATACGTAAGATTTACCTTTCTTCGCTTTCTCATGTTGTGGCATCAGAAACTTGACTCTTGGCAGACTAAATAACCTCAAATGCATTTGCGTTTCTTTCCCTACCGGTTCCCAAAAGCAACAGCAAACAACAACATCAACAACCATGCAAAACGTGACGTCACCAATTGATCGCAAAGCAAATGACCAGCTCCGGCCAGAGTGTACATACTGTAAAAAGGCAAAATAAAAAAATTTCGTTAAAATACAATGCGCAAGCGTAGTAAATATTTCCACGCAAGAGCCTTTTAAATAATTTTCCAACCTCCAACAAGAAAATTAATAATCTTTTGCCTTAAAACTAATAATCATTCGGTTAGGTAAAATGTTTGGTACCCTGGGAACGAAAGCCACATAAATTGGAGAGCGGAAATAGAAAGGAGTGGAGAAGCGGAGGAGCGTCTATCAGCTAGGCACACTCTCTGTAGTATTGCTATTTCCATTTAAAACTCTTTGTTCCTTGGGATGTCAAAGTTTATACAAATCGAAGGAATGTTCTCAAAATTTCTGCTGGAAAAGGTCAAAAAAAGCAATTTCAAAAGTAAACCAAAACCAAATTGTTTACGCAATTTGACTCTGGAAAAGGCCAAAAGTGGAAAATTTTGTCTGAAAATAGCCAATTTGCCAACCCTACATTAGAATCCCTTTAAATGGACTTGCGTTTCTTTTTTGCGGTAATTTTTTTTTCCAAAAGTTATATTGATTTTTCTGACAATTTTTCCAGAAAGTTTTCATGATTTTTCTAAGCCTATAACCTTACTTTTTCAACAGAAAATGACTCCTAAAAAAAGGTATTATTTCTCAAAGTAATCGACCTTTACTTTAAAACTAATTCATAACTAAGCTCTTTCTTGTCAATTGAAGCAAAGAAAACCGTTTCCGAAAAAATTTTTTCGGAAAGTTTTCATGATTTTCCTAAGCCTATAACCTTACTTTTTCAACAGAAAAAGACTCCTAAAAGAAGGTATTATTTCTCAAAGTAATCGACCATTACTTTAAAACTAATTTAGAACTAAGCCTTTTCTTGTCAAATTGAAGCAAAGAAAACCGTTTTCGGAAGAAATTTTTTGGAGAAAGTTTTCATGATTTTTCTAAGCCTATAACCTTACTTTTTCAACAGAAAACGAGTCCCAAAAAAAGGTTTTCTTTCTCAAAGTAAATGACCTTTACTTTAAAAGTAAATTACAACTAAGCTCTTTCTTGTCAAATTGTAGCAAAAAAAACCGTTTTTGGAATAATTTTTTTTCGAGAAAGTTTTCATGATTTTTCTAAGCCTATAACCTAACTTTTCAACAGAAAACAAGTCCCAAAAACAGCGTTTTCTTTCTCGTAGTAATTGACCTTTACTTTAAAGGTAAATTACAACTAAGCTCTTTCTTGTGAAATTGAAGCAAAAAAACCGTTTTCCTAAAAAAATTTTTCCGGAAAGTTTTCATGATTTTCCTAAGCCTATAACCTTACTTTTTCAACAGAAAATGACTCCAAAAAAACTGTTTTTTTTCAAAGTAATCGACATTTACTTTAAAACTAATTTATAACTAAGCTCTTTCTTGTCAATTGAAGCAAAGAAAACCGTTTTCAGAATGATTTTTTTGCAGAAAGTTTTCATGATTTTTCTAAGCCTATAACCTTACTTTTCAACAGAAAACAAGTCCCAAAAACAGCGTTTTCTTTCCCGTAGTAATTGACCTTTACCTTAAAGGTAAATTACAACTAAGCTCTTTCTTGTCAAATTGTAGCAAAAAAAACCGTCTTCCGAAAAAAATGTTTCCAGAAAGTTTTCATGATTCCCCTAAGCCTATAACCTTACTTTTTCAACAGAAGATGACTCCCAAAAAAAGGTATTATTTCTCAAAGTAATCGACCATTACTTTAAAACTAATTTAGAACTAAGCCTTTTCTTGTCAAATTGAAGCAAAGAAAACCGTTTTCGGAAGAAATTTTTTGGAGAAAGTTTTCATGATTTTTCTAAGCCTATAACCTTACTTTTTCAACAGAAAACGAGTCCCAAAAAAAGTTTTCTTTCTCAAAGTAAATGACCTTTACTTTAAAAGTAAATTACAACTAAGCTCTTTCTTGTCAAATTGTAGCAAAAAAAACCGTTTTTGGAATAATTTTTTTCGAGAAAGTTTTCATGATTTTTCTAAGCCTATAACCTAACCTTTCAACAGAAAACAAGTTCCAAAAACAGCGTTTTCTTTCTCGTAGTAATTGACCTTTACTTTAAAGGTAAATTACAACTAAGCTCTTTCTTGTGAAATTGAAGCAAAAAAACCGTTTTCCTAAAAAAATTTTTCCGGAAAGTTTTCAAGATTTTCCTAAGCCTATAACCTTACTTTTTCAACAGAAAATGACTCCCAAAAAATAATTTTTTTCAAAGCAATCGACCTTTACTTTTAAACTAATTAATAACTAAGCTCTTTCTTGTCAATTGAAGCAAAGAAAACCGTTTTCGGAATAATTTTTTTCCAGAAAGTTTTCATGATTTTTCAAAGCCTATAACCTTACTTTTTCAACAGAAAATTACTCCTAAAAAAAGGTATTATTTCTCAAAGTAATCGACCATTACTTTAAAACTAATTTAGAACTAAGTCTTTTCTTGTCAAATTGAAGCAAAGAAAACCGTTTTCGGAAGAAATTTTTTGGAGAAAGTTTTCATGATTTTTCTAAGCCTATAACCTTACTTTTTCAACAGAAAACGAGTCCCAAAAAAGGTTTTCTTTCTCAAAGTAAATGACCTTTACTTTAAAAGTAAATTACAACTAAGCTCTTTCTTGTCAAATTGTAGCAAAAAAAACCGTTTTTGGAATAATTTTTTTCGAGAAAGTTTTCATGATTTTTCTAAGCCTATAACCTAACTTTTCAACAGAAAACAAGTTCCAAAAACAGCGTTTTCTTTCTCGTAGTAATTGACCTTTACTTTAAAGGTAAATTACAACTAAGCTCTTTCTTGTGAAATTGAAGCAAAAAAACCGTTTTCCTAAAAAAATTTTTCCGGAAAGTTTTCAAGATTTTCCTAAGCCTATAACCTTACTTTTTCAACAGAAAATGACTCCCAAAAAAATTTTTTTTTCAAAGCAATCGACGTTTACTTTTAAACTAATTAATAACTAAGCTCTTTCTTGTCAAATTGAAGCAAAGAAAACCGTTTTCGGAAGAATTTTTCTTCAAAAAGTTTTCATGATTTTTCTAAGCCTATAACCTTACTTTTCAACAGAAAACAAGTCCCAAAAACAGCGTTTTCTTTCCCGTAGTAATTGACCTTTACTTTAAAGGTAAATTACAACTAAGCTCTTTCTTGTGAAATTGAAGCAAAAAAACCGCTTTCCTAAAAAATTTTTTCGGAAAGTTTTTATGATTTTCCTAAGCCTATAACCTTACTTTTTCAACAGAAAACGAGTCCCAAAAAAAGGTTTTCTTTCTCAAAGTAAATGACCTTTACCTTAAAGGTAAATTACAACTAAGCTCTTTCTTGTCAAATTGTAGCAAAAAAAACCGTCTTCCGAAAAAAATGTTTCCAGAAAGTTTTCATGATTCTCCTAAGCCTATAACCTTACTTTTTCAACAGAAGATGACTCCCAAAAAAAGTTTTTTTTCAAGTAATCCACCTTTACTTTTAAACTAATTGATAACTAAGCTCTTTCTTGTGAAATTGAAGCCAAAAAACCGTTTTCCGAAAAAAAATTTTCCAGAAAATTTTCATGATTTTTCTAAGCCTATAACCTTACTTTTTCAACAGAAAATGACTCCAAAAAAACTGTTTTATTTTTCAAAGTAATCGACAATTACTTTAAAACTAATTTAGAACTAAGTTTTTTTTTGTCAAATTGAAGCAAAGAAAACCGTTTTCGGAAGAAATTTTTTGCAGAAAGTTTTCATGATTTTTCTAAGCCTATAACCTTAGTTTTTCAACAGAAAACGAGTCCCAAAAAAGGTTTTCTTTCTCAAAGTAAATGACCTTTACTTTAAAAGTAAATTACAACTAAGCTCTTTCTTGTCAAATTGCAGCAAAAAAAACCGTTTTTGGAATAATTTTTTTCGAGAAAGTTTTCATGATTTTTCTAAGCCTATAACCTAACTTTTCAACAGAAAACAAGTCCCAAAAACAGCGTTTTCTTTCTCGTAGTAATTGACCTTTACTTTAAAGGTAAATTACAACTAAGCTCTTTCTTGTGAAATTGAAGCAAAAAAACCGTTTTCTTAAAAAAAATTTTCCGGAAAGTTTTCATGATTTTCCTAAGCCTATAACCTTACTTTTTCAACAGAAAATGACTCTAAAAAAACTGTTTTTTTTTCAAAGTAATCGACCTTTACTTTAAAACAAATTTATAACTAAGCTCTTTCTTGTCAATTGAAGCAAAGAAAACCGTTTTTGGAATAATTTTTTTCCGGAAAGTTTTCAAGATTTTCCTAAGCCTATAACCTTACTTTTTCAACAGAAAATGACTCCCAAAAAAAATTTTTTTCAAAGCAATCGACCTTTACTTTTAAACTAATTAATAACTAAGCTCTTTCTTGTCAAATTGAAGCAAAGAAAACCGTTTTCGGAAGAATTTTTCTTCAAAAAGTTTTCATGATTTTTCTAAGCCTATAACCTTACTTTTCAACATAAAACAAGTCCCAAAAACAGCGTTTTCTTTCCCGTAGTAATTGACCTTTACTTTAAAGGTAAATTACAACTAAGCTCTTTCTTGTGAAATTGAAGCAAAAAAACCGCTTTCCTAAAAAATTTTTTCGGAAAGTTTTTATGATTTTCCTAAGCCTATAACCTTACTTTTCAACAGAAAACAAGTCCCAAAAACAGCGCTTTCTTTCCCGTAGTAATTGACCTTTACTTTAAAGGTAAATTACAACTTAGCTTTTTCTTGTGAAATTGAAGCAAAAAAACCGTTTTCTTAAAAAAAATTTTCCGGAAAGTTTTCATGATTTTCCTAAGCCTATAACCTTACTTTTTCAACAGAAAATGACTCCAAAAAAACTGTTTTTTTTTCAAAGTAATCGACCTTTACTTTAAAACAAATTTATGACTAAGCTCTTTCTTGTCAATTGAAGCAAAGAAAACCGTTTTCGGAATAATTTTTTTCCGGAAAGTTTTCAAGATTTTCCTAAGCCTATAACCTTACTTTTTCAACAGAAAATGACTCCCAAAAAAATTTTTTTTCAAAGCAATCGACCTTTACTTTTAAACTAATTTTAACTAAGCTCTTTCTTGTCAAATTGAAGCAAAGAAAACCGTTTTCGGAAGAATTTTTCTTCAAAAAGTTTTCATGATTTTTCTAAGCCTATAACCTTACTTTTTCAACAGAAAATGACTCCCAAAAACAATTTTTTTTCAAAGTAATCGACCTTTACTTTTAAACTAATTAATAACTAAGCTCTTTCTTGTCAAATTGAAGCAAAGAAAACCGTTTTCGGAAGAATTTTTTTCAAAAGTTTTCATGATTTTTCTAAGCCTATAACCTTACTTTTTCAACAGAAAACGAGTCCAAAAAAAGGTTTTTTTTTTCAAAGTAAATGACCTTTACTTTTAAACTAATTAATAACTAAGCTCTTTCTTGTCAAATTGAAGCAAAGAAAACCGTTTTCGGAAGAAATTTTTTGGAGAAAGTTTTCATGATTTTTCTAAGCCTATAACCTTACTTTTTCAACAGAAAATGACTCCAAAAAAACTGTTTTTTTTTCAAAGTAATCAACCTTTACTTTTAAACTTATTAATAACTAAGCTCTTTCTTGTCAAATTGAAGCAAAAAAAACCGTTTTCGGAAGAAATTTTTTGCAGAAAGTTTTCATGATTTTTCTAAGCCTATAACCTTACTTTTCCAACAGAAAACGAGTCCCAAAAAAAGGTTTTCTTTCTCAAAGTAAATGACCTTTACTTTAAAAGTAAATTACAACCAAGCTCTTTCTTGTCAAATTGTAGCAAAAAACCGTTTTCCGAATAATTTTTTTCCAGAAAGTTTTAATGATTTTCCTAAGCCTATAACTTTACTTTTTCAACAGAAAATGACTCCCAAAAAAAGTTTTTTTTCAAAATAATCGACCTTTACTTTTAAACCAATCAATAACTAAGCTCTTTCTTGTCAAATTGAAGCAAAGAAAACCGTTTTCGGAAGAATTTTTTTGCAGAAAGTTTTCATGATTTTTCTAAGCCTATAACCTTACTTTTTCAACAGAAAATGACTCCAAAAAAACTGTTTTTTTTTCAAAGTAATCGACCTTTACTTCAAAACTAATACAGAACTAAGCTTTTTCTTGTCAAATTGAAGCAAAGAAAACCGTTTTCGGAAGAATTTTTTTTCCAAAAGTTTTCTTGATTTTTCTAAGCCTATAACCTTACTTTTTCAACAGAAAATGACTCCCAAAAAAGTTTTTTTCAAAGTAATCAACCTTTACTTTTAAACTTATTAATAACTAAGCTCTTTCTTGTCAAATTGAAGCAAAAAAAACCGTTTTCGGAAGAAATTTTTTGCAGAAAGTTTTCATGATTTTTCTAAGCCTATAACCTTACTTTTCAACAGAAAACAAGTCCCAAGAACAGCGTTTTCTTTCTCGTAGTAATTGACCTTTACTTTAAAGGTAAATTACAACTAAGCTCTTTCTTGTGAAATTGAAGCTAAAAAAACCGTTTTCCGAATAATTTTTTTCCAGAAAGTTTTCATGATTTTTCTAAGCCTATAACCTTACTTTTTCAACAGAAAATGACTCCCAAAAAAAGTTTTTTATTCAAAATAATCGACCTTTACTTTTAATCTAATTAATAACCAAGCTCTTTCTTGTCAATTGAAGCAAAGAAAACCGTTTTCGGAAGGAATTTTTTGCAGAAAGTTTTCATGATTTTTCTAAGGCTATAACCTTACTTTTTCAACAGAAAATGACTCCAAAAAAACTGTTTTATTTCTCAAAGTAATCGACCTTTACTTTAAAACTAATTGATAACTAAGCTATTTCTTGTCAAATTGAAGGAAATAAAACCGTTTTTTAAAGAATTTAAATGTTTCTTTAAATAAGTTGTTATTTTTTGGATAATCAACTTTAACTTCAAAACCAATTAAATTTTGGCTTTATTTTGTCAAATTGAAGCAAATTAAACTGTTTTTGGACGAAAATAGTTGAAAATTATCTAACATGGAAATATTTGGTTGAAAAAAATTTGAGATGAAAGTGACGGAAGTTTATATCGATATGTTAATTTTGAAAACTTTGTTTACTTTTGTCAGATAAGTTTGCATGTATAAGAAGTTATGGTCATATTAATTTCTGTAAAAAATTAATAGTTGTATTAAATGACAATTTTTGTAAAAAATTTTTTTAATCAAACTTAACATCATGTGAAATACAAAGATATTGGTGTGAATATTTGGGATAATTTTTTTTAAAAAGTTTAGCACTTACCTTACAAGATCGTTTATTGCCCTTGATTTTTGCTTTGCAAAACGTTTTGTGCTGATTTTGGCTGAAAAATTTTGAGAGAATTTCCATAGGTTTTTTTTTTAATTCGACAAAAAACGGCTCGAAATAGGGAATATTTTGATAAAAGGATAGTTAAATTAAATTGCATTCTAAAATTTTTTAACTTGCTGGACACCTTTTCAAGCAAAGACCTTGGTTTACTTTATCCAAAATTCCATACAATAACGCAATGACACTTGATCCTTATTCAACATTTATTTGAAAGTCCAGGTCTGCATTCGCTTGTTTTTCAAGCCCAGTCCAGATGTGGTGCTGCGATTGGCGTTGGAAGTTCTCCCTCGTAGTTGGTCAGTGTACATTTATCAAGTCACATTTCCAGTCAGGCCTGTAGACACTTGAGGAGGCGAAAATTATTTGCAAAAATTGCGTTTTAAGATCATATAAATGCAGCTCGATCTGACAGTATTTCGTATGGCAGGTAAAGAAAAGGCTATTATCCATCCATGCCCTCCCCCCCCCCCCCCCTCAATCTAGTGTAGCTGTCTACGGGCCTGTTTACAGTGTGATCCAACTAATGAGTTCGAATCATTAACATTAAGCAAGTTGAACAAAAAAGGAATCTTAACACAAACTCACATTCTTGAACTCGTTGTAAAACAGCAAACGACGTCGACAGGCTTCTAGAAGAAACAACGCGATCCGTAACTGAAAACAAAACAGGATACTACTTCAGGAAGATGATATAGGAACATCAAGAAAAACTGGATACTACTTCAGGGGTATCGTGGCTAGGGGTAGGCAAGATAGGGACGTGCCCCCCCCATTGATCATTCCACAATTTGTCAGAAATTTCGTTCAAAGGAACTAATCAGTATAAGAAGGAAGGTATAAACAGAAAAAGTTTTCTGAAGACAGTAAAGCTCGTGATTAATTATTTTACAGTTATTTTACATTTACTTGCCTATGGAAATCTATACATTTGTACAGGAAATAACAAACTTGCCAATTGGTTTCACTAAATGCGAGTGCATGTTTTTTAAAGCTCAAGTAAAAAACAGGCTGCGATCAACTATGGGCAAGAGGGGTTAAATAAATGTTGAGCCTCACTTACTTGACACTCAGTTGTGATGCAGCAATCGGCGATTTGCTGACACATCATTGCTAAGGAGACTTCTCATGGAATTGAAAATCGCCCAGTTCGTTTCTTTAGATTCTAAAGACAAGTCTTAATCATGAGTCCTACTTTCTCCGACCGATTGAAATCAGTAAAAGTGATGCTGCAAAAGATACATATTGTTTGCCATGTCTTTCTGCATTATAAGAAAACTGCGCATGCGCTCGATAAGGTCATAATATTTTTATCATAATATAATCACTGATAACGTCATTATATATTCACTGTAGTGAATTTACACTATCACTTTTAGTGATCTTCCCGGATAGTAAAAATTCGGTTGCACGGATTACGTAACGAGGCCACGCGTGGTGATAGTATTGGAAAAGAGGTAGGCCCAAAATGTGGCGCTATTAGCTAGAAAAAATGGCGAATGGTGATAGCAAAAACGCTGCCAGGCTCGAAATGTCCACAGAAAGACCACCGAACCCAGATGAAGTTGCTAGGTACATCAAAACACATCCAGAACTGGAAAGACCGCTTTGGTTCCCGAATCATCAAGGAAAGTTCATTGCATTTACTTGGCTGACTTGCGCATGTTGGTTTATTTCTTTTTGATTTCTTATTCAATGGTTAATTTAATCATCATACCCTGTAGGCTTCAGCTTGTGGTGCGTTATAAGATTTGAAAACTTGTATCCAATTTTTGATGAAAGACAAAATTATGATTAATTAGGAAGAGGGTGGCTATATGTGGTTCCCATTTGATTTCCACGCCCACCTTGACCTGATTACAAGCTGATGCCTGCAGATTTCCTTCTGATTTTTTCAGTAGATAAACCAAGGCAAATGTCTTTTTCAATCTGAGATTCTGAGCTATCTGGCCCATGAAGTTGATTTTATTGCCAATCAAACTGACCACAATTTATCCTGTCTAACTGACACCAAACTTACCACACTTTCTCTTTGACCTCTTCTGGAAGGGCGACATGCTTAAAAATTATCTTGTTCACAGCCTATGATGTTTCTTTAATAATTTCTTCTATATTGAAATGAATCGTAGCATTAGGTGTAAGATTGACCAAGGTAGGCCCTGTGTTTATAGGGTAATGGTTAAATGTATTAACTCTAAGGAGGAAAATAAGATATTATGGTAAATATGATTGCTAATATTAACGGACTGAAGACATAAACGCAATTCTGAAATCTGGATGCCTTCTTGTGACCTGTGCGACACCCGGTATCTGCCCCTGTTTCCAAAAGAGAGGGTTTTAGGCCAGTCTGCAGAGTATGGCAAATTCATGCACAAATTTATTTTAGAATGACCAGCTTAGCATGCAGAAATTCAAAATTGCACATAAAATTTAAAATTTTCTATAGGAAGCAGGCTTTTGCTCTACTTTATGGACAAAATGGACAAACCACATTTATAGACATTCAGTGTTTTATTCAGAGGATTAAATTATATTTATTCAATTTCTTTATATTGGCCTCCAAACCCCTATATACTTTCATATCAAGACAAGCACACAAGATTTACTTTTACTCGAAGTAGCACCATGGTTGCCCTGAAGTGTTAAAAATTTTTTGACTTTGGATGCTTCCAGCTTGCAGAAAAATGCACCATTTGAAGCAATTTTTACTAATACAACCTTTCTCATAAATGAATATTCAAAAGTAATATTGCTATTTCAAGGTTTTGATCACTTTCTTGGTGTCATTGATATATTTTTTATCTTATTCAACAATATTGAATCTTGAGACCGGGACAATATCTCTCAAGTTGAATGGTCAGAACAAAGTCTTGATATTGTGACTTGTCAGAACTGTTTGAAGTTATAAATAATAAAAGGAGCAAATAATTTGCATGAGGTTTTTGCCCACCTTTACCCTTAGCTGCTATACATTTAAGCATGTCTAAAAGAGCTATGTACTTTGAGATTAATGCTGAAATTGTTGGTAGCTCAAAGCCCCATCAGGTAGGGCATGAACAAAAGAGAAACAAAAATATTTGAAAAGGAATTCTTTAAGAATTCATTAAGAATCACAATAAAAATTTTCAAAAATATTGAGGCTTGACAAAATTTATAGTATTCTTAAAAATGAAGTGCAAATAGCCTATGAAAAGCAATGCTAATTTTGGATTTATGACATGGCAAAACCAAGTGTTTCAGTATCTGGGTCATCAGGTTTAGGGTACAAAAAACCCACGAGATCATCCTGAGCAATTAATTGGGGCTGATACGTTTTCCTGAAAAAGCTGTGCTTGCACGCCTGATAACTGGTAAACTGTGATTTGCATGCAGCGCAGGCAGCCAAAATGACAGTGCAGAGGCCTTTTTGTGAAGAAATTTTTGCAAGGGCGATAAACTGCCTGCGTGGATCATCTTACAAAGGCAATTGTCCATCCAATTTTATTTGTTAAGCGAAGCCCTTCAGGACTTAAGGGGGAATTAGGGTATTATCTAACCACAAGTGCCTAACCTTTGTCATCATCTAGAAGTTAGACTTTTTTCGTCTTCGTTGTATGAATCAAAATCAGATTCTGACTCGGTTTAAAAATTCTCTCCCTCATCCTCCCTGACTGTATCATCTGTGTTTTCAGATTCTTTTGGAGCTTCAAGACAGAGTCTCTCACTAAGAGGCTCCTCTATAACAGTTTTACCTTGTTTCCTCAAAATGAATATCAACAGCTCTTTTTATTATAGTATTTCTTTCCGTTACTGTCCAGCTCTTATCATTGTTACTTATTATCAATATTTATCATTCCCATTTATGAGTTAATGTTCAATGTGAGGGTCATGCACTATGAAGAAAATATTTCGCAGATTAGGAAAATCTGGCAACTTCTGGACAGAACAACGGAATCCTACGAAGTGTCGAGAACCACTATACTCTGCAGACTGGGTTTAGGGTTTATTTATTAAATGCTTGTGATTTTGTTATGTACTGAAACCGTAAGTAGGTTCAATATTTCTATTATTTTGTGAATTAGTAACTAAAATTAGTTGTTAACAGCAGTTTTTTGATAAGGATATTCTTTTTTAGTCATGACATGCTATTTTGTCTTCTGGCATGAATTTCCACAGGAAGAGCACTGTTTTAGTTCAGTAAGTCTTCTTATTTCTGCATGTTTCATTATTTTTAAGTATAAGTATAATATTCATACAATTTTCAGGTGAAACAATTCTAAGATATTTTTTACTTTAGATTGGAATATATTGGGATTTTTTTGTAGATAAGAAGATATGCTCAAGGTTGGCGAAGAAGGTTGTTCACAGTTGACGAGACTGAAGATGAGCAAGTGCAAAAGCATATAGAAAACCTAAAGCAGAGAATTGATGCAAAAAAAGCACAAGTAAATGAAGAGCAAAGCAAGACTGTTGAGTCCTGAGAGTGTGAATTAATGCTCATAGGCATTATTGAGAATGGTTTATGAATTATTCCTGGCTTGTTGAATTCAGTCTAACTTTAAGGTATCAGCAACTGTTGGTTGTTCAGGCAAAAGATATTCCTTGTCACATAGCTTCAAGGCCAAAGCTTCTTTTAGTGCTTTGTTCATATCCTTATTAAGGGTAAAACGTTAACCAATGGATAAATTTGCTTGATATGATTTGGTTTAAGACAACAAGCAATGTTTTGAAAATTCAATGATTTGTAGTTGTTTATGTAAAACAAGAAAGAAGATTTAGTAGACATTGCAAATTGTGGCTTTGATCTATGATGATGAATGAACAATATCATTGTATACTAATATCTTTTAAAATATTTACAAATAAATACATTATATTATATATGATAATTGTATTTTGTAGATTGAGCATCATTTCTAAGTTTACAGCTGAAACATGAGCAAATTCGTCATTCATCCAAGTCTTTCACGTCATCCATCAAGCCAAGTCATCCAGGATATGAAATAGTTTATTAACATATTCACTAACTTCTCATTCAGAATTATTATCTGCTGTATAAACTTCAATCCCCTGTGGGCATTAGTAAATATTCAATCCTGACAATTCTATTATTTCCTTAAACGTCATTAAAATGCAATTGCTTGATTTGATAATAAGAGACAGATCTTATGGATTTTAGGAATTAGTGTAAAGTGAATAAAGGGTGAAGAGATGACTCACTGAAACCATAACTAGTTAAAATTGTAGGCAGTGAACTTTGACATATTTATCTGTTCTGACATCACAGACGTCTTGTAAATGCTAGGATAAATTATGAAATCTCTTATTTATGCAGTATTGCTTGAATCAACCTCCCTGAAAATGCTAGCTAACGGAGCTACCATTATCATCCCAGGACACATACTGCAAATTGTCTCCACTGTCATGCACCCTAAGATACTAATGACGTTGTGGTGTGTTTCAAATACATTATTTCACAGCACGATGGGATGTCCCGAGTATATTATTCCATCTTGCCATGACGAAGAGTTTGACGAAGCCTCTGATTCACTGGTTGAGCTTGAACGATTTGACGTTTTGCGGCGAGTTCTAATCAAAGAGCAGTCACCGACAACAGTTGAGCTACCACTTGACTGAATACTCGGGCTTCGCTGAAGCATTCTACCTTTGCCAATGTTTTCTGTAGCTACAATGGACCTTGCAATAAGAAGCAAATTATTTCCTTCAGGGTCGCATGTTTCTATTAGCGTTTTACCAACAAGCCTGCCGAACAAAGAGCTGTTTCTCGGAAATTCAAGGATAAGCTGCGAGTGCTTTCCGACCACAATATCCAAATGAGGCGATCTCTTCAACGAGAACTGTATTTCATAATCAGGGTTAAACTTCAATATGAAGCAACAATAACCATCTTCTGAAACGAAAGTTGGCGCCATCGAGAGCAGGTCTTCATAAAATCTTCGCATTCGCCGGATGTTCTTTACAAACAGGTTGTACCTAATGATGTTACGAGTAGAATTTAGACTTACGTTTACAAGAGGTAATTCCGGGCTCAATTCAAAGAAATCTTGCTTTGCGACCACACAGGAATTCTCCCAGTCTAACAACTGCATTGTGTGGTGGAATCTCCATGGCTCGTGTTGTAGTACATTGGCCAATTTATCGTTTTCAATATTTTGTTCAATGTGCAATATAACGCTCAATGCCTGGGAGGAAAGCAAATTACTTCTTTTGGATTTACAAATTGAAGGTATTGAGTCGAAACTTGAATATCCACTGCTTATGGATAATTGACTCTTTAGTTCTCGAAAGTATCTCTCCTTTGTGAATCTTCCTTCTTTTTCCATCAAGCTAACTTTAAATAATGAGTTCGTTTCCTCTGCAAGCTTGCCTAGAGTTGAAATGAGAATGGACATCTCTTCTTCAGTTTTCGCTTGCAAGTGCAGTCCAATGCTGATATCTGTATCCATATCCATGTTGATATGTTGTTGTTTACGATGGTACTCTGAAATTGAAATTAAGCTTGATTAACCACTGCTAGTACCATCCCAATTCAAAGAACCATGTCAGTTAAGACTCATTTAAACCTTTACTGTTTAAATTCGTTTAAACCACTACAGAAATAGGATTGTGTATTCCTCAACTTCTTAACTCTCTATAAAACTGTGATATTGGTTTGCCTACCATCCTTTGTGCTTCAAATAGCCACAGGGGCAACCAAAAACAGCAAAAAACAGATAGCAACACTCAAGAGAAATTCGAATGTACACAGTCGCATCCGACTTTACGGTTACCAACTACTCTCGATTCGTGAGAACATCTAAATTGATTTATTTTCAACCTACCTTGTTGGCAGAAAAGCTAATGTATTTCGTACTAGAACAATTTTTGATTACGTTTGCTCGTTTTAGAAATCATAATATTTAAGCAGTTGGAGCGAATAGTTGAGATTTTTTCATGAAATCGAAGCATTAGCAGGGCGATGGAGGTAGAAAAGCCCTGTTGGAAGTTACAATGCTAATTTGAGATTTCTAGGTCGTGCTTAGAAAATGCCTGGGGAGGTGGTCAGAAGAAAGGCAAGAAAGTTGCGTGATTATGGCAAGAAAACAGTAGAGAAAAAAAAAGAAAAACAGTAGAGAATTATAGTGGACGGTTGTTGCTAGTTGTGATGAGCCAATACATGGAATAAACTGGTATGCATGGAATAAATATTGCCGTTAATACAAAAGCATACCTGGATCTATGTTATGCAAAAAATGCACACTTAAGAATCAATCCGCTAAGAATGCAAAAAGACATGGCAATATGCTGGAAGAGCAGTCATTGTAAGGGATGGCCGTTCCAAAAATTGTATCATGGACTTGTTGCAACGAAATTATTTTACCGTTTTACTGTGAATCGTAGTACGCACCAGCCAAAACAGAATATAAACAAAACATCTGCAGATCTAACGTTTCTTGAGACCAACAAATCTTGTTTACTGTCATGAGCTTAATTGGATCGTTTGTATTTAAAAGGGGAAAAACTTTCACACAGTTCAAATAGAAAGTGCGCACCAGTTTCGTGCATTTTAATACTGAATTACAAAGGACAAATAAATGCATTGTATTGTGTACGTGTAGCAAGGGTGATTTGATGACGTCAAACCGTAACTTGTCTGGGTAGACAATGATGTTCGAGAAGGCAAAAGATAAAATCAAAAATTAAAATTACAGTCGGAGATTGAAAGCGAACTGAGAATATAACGCATTGCATAATTCTTTTAAACTTCAAGATTATGAACATAAACAATACAAAAGCCGAAAGAATTGTGATTTGGTAAAGGTTTTAGATTTTTTGAATTTATGATGAATAGAGTTATTGGGATTCTGGTAAACCTAAAAAAATTAGATTGAAGACAGTGATAACGTTTGGCTGATTTGAAAAAAACACAAAAGAAAGATGTGTTCAAATGGAGACTGAACATTTCTCAAAACAATCCTGAGCATTTGATAGACAGCAATCACTGAAACTGGTTTGATTCACTTCAAACTCTGGAATTTTGAGACTTAAGATGACAGAAATCGAATGAAAGTCGATGTGGTCTGCGATAACTCATCGATTGTGTGTGGTCAGCTTGAATTTGCTTATATCAAAGTCAGGCGCTGGAAATTAATTATTACGTTGGAGATCTCAATCGTATGAAACAGCCTGACTGCCTGGCTCTAAACACAAGCTTTCTAGTTCCTTTCAAAGAGGGCATAACCCAGACAGACTCTGTTAAATAGAAGTTTTCACTATCAATACCTATCGTTAAGTCTTCTCTTCTGCATCTGTTCTTCTGCATTATTTTGAATCTTTTATTTTTTGACCTTCAGTGAACTTTGAAAGATGGCATCGTAACGTATCTTTAAAAACAAGAATTTTGCTAACATAAACGAGACGCACTTAAAACGACTACTGGGTTTTTGGTTTGTCTCGTCAGTAGCATTTAACTTCAATTCATTTTAAATGAGGTTTGATAAAGTAGAGTCAATTGTGCACTTGAAGAATTTTAAATACCTTGAAGAATTTCAAGAGAAATACCTCGAGGGCCCTGTGGCCCCAATCCTTTTGCAAACTAACGAAGAAAATACTTTTGGAAGAAGACAGATAATCTTTGCTGATGAGAAGATCTATCATCTGCCAGACCGGAGCTGCGCCTCTGTTTATTTCACTTAACCAGACCGTCAAAGAATGTCAAAAACCAACAAACATGGACAAGCATAGATCGATCAGCCTTCCTAACAATCGGCTTATCTTTGAAAGATCGCTGACTTTCATTCAATGGTACTTTAGTAGCATGTCATAGCTCAAAGGGAGCTACGTACGTATTCGAAATTTCCGTACAATTATTATTCCCGCAAATGACCCGTGACGTAGAAAAACAGCACTTGGTGAGGACAGAATGCTGGAACCGCTTCAGGCAAAGGGCGAGCACGATAACAGGATTCAGACGCCATGTCCTTGCGTTTATTTACGGTAAATCTTCGAACCCGAAAACCCGCAAGTCCTTGACGATAACCTTTCTTAGAACTTTAGAAGACGTAGCATGTTCAAAAGATTTGTTGTCAATTGACTTGCAAAATGTATAGTTTCTCAAACCACCTTGGAAAAAGTGGAAATGCTTAAGAAGAGGTACTTATATGGAGATGTACTTTAAAAAGTCTCAATCCTCTCTCTAATCAGCCCCCATTCAAGAACGCCTCAAATCAATTAGCCCCCTCGGGGGCCTATTGGAGGATGGGGACTTCCTCGTGTTCTTTGGAATCTGCTGTTCAGAATAAAAAATGTTTCAAATTCTAAGAGAAGCTTTCCAGCGTGGCTGAAGCGCTGTCCCCTGTCTTCGGTGGCAGTACCCAGCCTGTAGCAAGCGAAAAATCTAGCATGTTTTGTATTTGTTTTCCCACGTATGCAGCAAAAATCTCATGTTTCAAGTAGCTACTGCGATTTTCGTCGCAAGAAAACGTAAATCGTAAACGCTGGCGACAAAAGTGGCGAAATGTGTAGTAGAAGAAAGCTGGCAGAGTGAACAAGGGAAAAAGTATCCCTAAAAGAATCAGTCAGGGCCTTCGAAAGTGAGCTCGGGCCCAGGGGTGATTCACAAAAATGGACCCC